ATATATATATATATATATATATATATATATATATATATATATATATACACATATACACACACGGTTCACAGTTTGGCTGTAAAAAAAGACCAACAGAAATGGAATTGAATGATGTGGCTATGTTGACATAAGTCTGGGCAGTTGTTTCTGTTTTCATATCGTCCGATCATGGTTACTCAGCATTGCCACGGGTCTGAGCGTCTAATGGAGCTTTAAAATAGTCAAACCTTTAAGATTTCTTCAAGCAAGTCTTTCTCTGTGCTTCGTGCAACTGTATCACATCACATCATGTTTCATTAACATTATTATTAAACACACTCAGCGAGCGACGGGCGCTCCTCGTCTCAGTCCAAAAGTCAAAATGTATTGAAAAAAGATTAAATAAATAGTCTGCTGCTCTCCATATTTGTTGGGGTTTAATCTTTCAAAAACTGTTTGACAGCCCCATAAATTACATTCATATAATAACCACAATAACACAAAATCCTATTTTCCGATTTCTTTTCGAGTAATAACGTTCAATTCATTCAATGTAGCTTTACAACGTTCACTATGCAGCGCAGAGCAACGTTTGGTGAGCAGGCATTTGGAGAACATGTCTGGTGTTAGATCCTTGGAAGAATGACGGCAAACTGGTTTATAATTGACGATCGTGCTGATTAACATGGCTCAGCATACAAACATACCAGTCATCCAGAAACATCTCTGAATGCACAATAGGGCACAGATTATAGAGATTTATAACGTCTTAGTTGTGATAGTAAATTGGTTAAAATCACCTTAATATCGGTGGAGGAAAAACAATCGTTGATCATCCCTTCAGTTGTTGATGTACGATCTGATTGCAACTGTTGTACAGTATCTCAACATTAAATCAATAAGTTTGAAGACTCTACAAACAAACCTGCATTTAGTGCTTCGCAGTATTACTAGTACATTACTAGTAATACTAGTAGTACTCTTATTAATCAGAAGAAAGAGAGCCACACCTTTTTATTAGGACCTGAGCACTTACCAGTGGTCGGTCAGCAGAGGCCCTATTGAGACGGAAGGATTCATTGTTATTCTCCCTTTGCCATCGAAAGTCATCAAACATTTGCTTTTTCATGAAAAATCAATGTTGCCGTGACGTTATAGACTCATAGCCCCGCCCCTTTCATAATCCATAAACAGTTTGTCGTAGACAATCATTGTTTTTCAGCAGTAACTTTATGTTTCATTGGTGTCTGTGTCATGGACATAAAATAGATATTCAAATAGTTCGGACATATGTGATTTTTAAGAACGAATATTTAACGTAATTTTTGGCATTACCCCGCCCACAACTTTCAGTAGAAAGTTGTGGGCGGCATCATTGTACTCTGCAAAGATCCTGTTTCATTTTGCTTGGCCGCGTCGACCAGGAAGGTCTCGTTCATTGCTGCTTGCAGCTTTAATTTTGATAAAGTAATTAACCGGATTATCAGAAGAATGAAAAACTCAAGTCAATAGTGATAGTCAATCTGATTTAGCTTAGCCTGACTCCTTTCACACTTTATGAATGTACTTTCTGTAATAACCTAATTACTTGCTTAACCCACACCGTGACTTTTATTTTGTAGGTGTCTTTAGAGCAGAAGAATGCCACGGTCACATTTGACGACAGCCAACATAGCCCAGAGTCTCTGTCAGAGGCCATCGAGGACATGGGCTTTGAATCAAGTCTCTCAGACTCCAGCACAGCCACACCCGTCTCCACAGATACGCAGCTGATCTCCACCTCAGGCCTGACACCTGCAGCTCAACAGGAGGCTTTGGAGAAGCTGTCCCAGTTTCAGGGAGTGTTGGATGTCAGAGAGAGCCCGGCCCAGCTGGGCATCACTGTTACCTTTGTTCCTTCCCTGACTTCTGCGCAGCAGCTGAGTGAGGTGGTGGCCATCTTGACACCTCTGGAGAAGCCCGCACCCAGCAGTCCAAAGCAAAAAGGCCCAGCGGGAAGCGGGGTGGCGCTTCTTAAGTTGAACATTGAAGGAATGACCTGTCACTCCTGCACCACCACTATTGAAGGGAAGATTGGAAAGCTGAAAGGGATTGAGAAGATCAAAGGTGATGTACTTGAACTGTTTACGAGCTGTTTGTCACGCATTAGCACACTGTCTGAGCTAGAAGGGATGTTGTTACACAATTCCTGCACGACACAGGAATGCACGTCCTACAGATAGCAAGTCTGTCATGTCATTGTGTGTGTTCACCACTGACAGGTTGCTGAGTGGGATTTGTTTACGACTAATGAAATCCCTCCACTGGTGTTGTTGTGATGTAGACACACAAACATTAAACCCCCCCCCCGCCCCCCGCCTGTGTTCAGGGCTATTCTAATAAAGTTGAGTTTCTAAATAGAATTCAACATTTTCAACTTACAATGATATCTTCATGACAATTTTATGATAATAATATTAATCTGAAGCACTTTTCAAAACCTAAGCTACAAAGTGCTTTGCGGCCAATTAATATTCATGAATTATAAAATAATTCTGTGAACGCAAAAGCTCTGTCGTCTTTGGTGTTGAGGTTTAAAAGACGAGGATCTAACATACAGGATGCTAAATACGCTTCATGTGCGAATATGGACATGAATGTTGTTTTTGTGAATTTTTATCTTTTCATGCACAGTCACTTCCTGTTCTTCTGAAATATTGTCTTTTCTAAAAAAGTCTTTCATGCTTTTGCGTTTTTTATTTTTAACTTTGTCGTGTCTTTATTCTCAACAGTTGTGTTAGAGACTCGGGAAGCTACAATTGTGTACCTGCCGCACTTCGTCACCGTCCAAACCATCACCGACCAGATTGCCGTGGCGGGCTTCAATGCATTTGTCAAGTGCAAGCCTCGGCCTTTGCAGCTGTCCCTCAGTGAAATCGAACGTTTAGTTGATTCTCAAAAACCAACCGTTTCTTCGCCCTCAGAGACGTCAGAGGAGACTGAAATCTTCATAGACACGACTCTCATCGCGCTGAGGGTGAAAGGCATGCACTGCCGTTCATGCGTGGTCAATATCCAAGACAATATCTCCATGCTGCCTGGTGTCTCCTCTGTGGAGGTCTCTCTGGAGAAGGAGAAGGCCTCCATCTGCTACGATCCTCTACAGGTCACTGTGACTCAGTTGCAGCAGGCCATTGAGGCGCTGCCTCCAGGAAGCTTCAAGACTCAAACCTGGGACTCCTCTGGCCCTCTCTGTTCTGTGTCCACATCGCCAACGCCACCTCGGCCTGCACGAGCAGCCCAGGCAAAACCTGCTGCCTCTCCGCCTTGCTTCACCCAGCCTCTAGCGTCTGTCGTCAATATTCACATCGAGGGCATGACGTGCAACTCCTGTGTCCAGTCCATCGAAGGCATGATCTCCCAAAGGAAGGGGGTGATTTCGGCCCACGTCTCTCTGTCTGATCACCAGGGCACCTTTGAGTACGATCCCCTCCTGACCACAGCGGAGGAGCTGAGGGAGGCCGTGGAGGACATGGGCTTCGATGCATTCCTACCTGGTAAGATAGTGTGGTGTGGTTTCTGAGACGGCTACTTTCTCTGAAGTAGATGGCTAAAGCAGTTTTAACTTATTTATCTTCGTGGCCTCTGGATGCTCCTCAGCCAGTGGGAGCAGTTGAACTGTGAGGTTGAACTTTCTTTTAAAAGCTATCATTTGTTGTCCACAGAGACCAATTCTCTGCTGCCTGCACCAAATCCCAGTCTCTCCAAGTCTTCGAGTCTTTCACATGTGAAAGATAAGGAGTTGGACAGCGACCTACACAAAGAAACCCTTCAGGGACACGACAGAGACACGCACTCTAAATGCTACATCCAGATAGGAGGGATGACCTGTGCTTCCTGCGTGGCTAACATCGAGAGAAACCTCAAGAATGAATCAGGTCTGTGTAAACAAAATAAAATACTTAACGAGGACTTAATCGCGTGTCATTGCTTTCACCGGGAGCTAAACAGAACCTCTTTAATGTCGTGCAGGTATCTACTCGGTGCTGGTGGCACTGATGGCCAGTAAAGCAGAGGTGCGTTATAACGCTGAGCTCATCGACCCCGTGAAGATAGCCGAGTTTGTGGAGGAGCTGGGCTTCACCGCCTCTGTGATGGAGAACTACGAAGGTTCAGATGGAAACCTAGAACTAGTGGTGAGTCACCGGGCGGTTGCATTGACGTTACGTTTGTGTTGCATTAAGAAGGAAAGATGCATTCAACCGAATCACGTCTGTTCTTCACTTCATGCCCTCTTTTAATACATTTGTATCCCTTTCTCTTCACCTCCTCTCAGGTCAGGGGGATGACGTGTGCCTCTTGTGTTCACAAAATTGAATCCAGCCTCATGAGAGAAAAGGGGATTATATATGCCTCTGTTGCCTTGGCAACAAACAAAGCACACATTAAGCACGACTTGGAAATCATCGGACCGCGAGACGTCATCAAGCTCATCGAGGTATTTTTTGTTTGTTTGTTTGTTAAAGCATTGGTTCAGTTGATTTCCTAATCATAAGGGGGGGATATTTGATCAGTGTTTTGTTATTTATAGAATCTGGGGTTTGAAGCGTCGTTGGTGAAGCATGATCGTACGGCCTCTCACCTGGACCACAGCAAAGAGATCCGACAGTAAGACACCAGGAACATGCCCACATTTATGCTTTTATACTGATTTTAATCCATCTTTACAACTCAAAGGTGTGTCTGATACAGCTAGAATCCATTTTATACCAAATGTTTAATGACTCAACAATTCCTTTCATTTCTCTCAGAAAACACTTCTGTTTTTGGGTCAGGTGGAAACAGCCCCACTGAGCATTACTCAATACATTCTGTTATTATAACACACAACTCTATATATAGTGCTGCAGGGATGACGTAATCTTACAGGACAACCTCCGAATTAAGCATTGCACGGGTTCCCACAGCCAATGGGATTTTAGATTATTCCAAAAATAAGCGCCGTGGCAAACACAAGTTTATGAACGTTTGGTTCATCAAGATCATTTTCACGATTTAACACTCTTACAATATTAGAAGCGTGGATGCAATCACCAGAAGTAGAAAGCTAACGTTAGGATATAAACGAACTACACCACTGTCGCATGAGCACGATTACACACAAGAAGGCTGTGAAGGTGGACAAGTTGGCTTAATGCCGTTAAGTGGTCTTATTTAGGCACTTAGCAGGCGACTTTTAGGTTTGTTCAGCATTATGTGCAGTGTTTGTGGGTCGATGCTGTGTTTAGAGATGAAGAATGTCTATTTGTAAGGAGAGATAAAACCTCGCAGAATAAAATTAATTAATTTCTAACACACGACTGTCTGTGCTCTTTAAGGTGGAGGAAATCTTTCCTGGTGAGCCTGTTTTTCTGTGTGCCTGTGATGGGCATGATGACCTACATGATTATCATGGACCACCAGATGAGTGCTTCACATCAGCACAATACCACTGTGGAGGACCGCAACCACTACCACGCCACCATGTTCCTGGAGAGACAGCTGCTCCCAGGGCTGTCCATCATGAACTTCCTCTCCTTCCTCTTCTGTGTGCCTGTACAGGTAAATCAGAGGGATCGACAGCACATAGAGACTTGTTCAGGAGAGGGGAGGCACTCTGAATGAAATGTTTGTGGTTTCTTAAATACGGACTTTTCTGTTTTTCCTCTCTTTAGTTTATTGGAGGTCGCTACTTCTACATTCAAGCCTACAAAGCAGTCAAACACCGATCTGCAAACATGGACGTGCTAATAGTTCTGGCTACCTCCATAGCCTTCACCTACTCGCTGGTCATCCTAATAGTTGCCATGGCGGAGAAGGCAAAAGTCAACCCCATCACCTTCTTCGACACTCCGCCGATGCTCTTCGTCTTCATCTCCCTGGGGCGCTGGCTGGAACAGATAGCCAAGGTTTAGCTCTTTATTGATATCTATGACTTGAAATGCTGGACTTGAATTGGATGTATTAGTCAATGTGAACTGTTCTTCCTCCGCCCAGAGCAAGACCTCTGAGGCTTTGTCCAAGTTGATGTCTCTACAAGCCACTGAGGCCACAGTGGTTACGCTCGGCAGTGACAAATCCCTTCTCAGGTACTCATTGTTCTTACTTAGTTTACATTAGGCTTTCATATCTTAAATTGCTTTTAGATTACAACATATCTTAATGTTTGCAATCGAAATGTCAAGTAGAAGGTCTCACTTGACGTAACAAAGACTGAATAAACAAGTAAGAATAGAACATTTGTCTTTTCCAACTGGGGTTTAGATTTAATCTTTACTTTTTAAAAAATGGCAAATAAAACAGGAACTGTCATTTTGATCTGGTAATCCCGCTGGAAGAAATCTGCTTGGTAATATTGAGAATAGTTTTCTGCTGTATTGTAAATATAATCACAGCAATAGTGTAGTAATAGTCCAACATTATAGCAACACTGTACAGTTTACAACGTTTACATTGTGCGTCCAGTGAGGAGCAGGTGGATGTTGAGCTGGTGCAGAGGGGCGATGTGGTGAAAGTCGTTCCTGGAGGGAAGTTTCCAGTAGATGGGCGGGTCATCGAGGGGCACTCCATGGCCGACGAGTCGCTGATCACAGGTTGGTCGCAGTGAATGGATGAACAAACAAGTATCTAGTTTGCCATTCATGGAAAAACCTGGAAATTGATTAAAATGACTAAATATCATCATCAGCATCATTTAAAAAAGGAGGAATGAAACTAGCCTACCGGTTAATTATAGGAGCGTTTGTGACAGAGTGCTCTCCTGTAATGTAAAGAAAATGTCCTGGAAAATGATTTCTTAAAATTAGAACCCTGTATCAGTATTGGTGACAATAAAATGTAAGTATTCTGGTTAGTTGAGTCAATGCAAGAGATTTGACTCCTGCTCTAACTGATGCCTGAAATGTGTCTTTTAGTTGTTTACCTTCGTTTGCCACCACATTAGTCTTCATCATCAGTACTAATGAACAAGTAGTCTTTGGTTATTATTTGAGTTGTGGTTTTGCTCCAGATGTTCTGCTACTGTTGCTGCTGCCTCAGACTGTTGTGTTTTCTGAGCAGCTGTTGCGTTGTGTCTCCAGGTGAGGCTATGCCCGTGACGAAGAAGATCGGGAGCTCTGTGATCGCAGGCTCCATTAACCAGAATGGCTCTCTGCTCGTCAGCGCTACACATGTTGGCATGGACACCACGCTGTCTCAGATCGTCAAACTTGTCGAGGAGGCTCAGACGTCAAAGGTGAGTTATGTGGTTCGAGATCTGCACTGTGAACACATGCTTTGATGGTAATTGCTCAGGTGTTAAAAGTCTGACATTCCATTTTTTAGGCTCCCATCCAGCAGTATGCAGATAAGATCAGTGGCTACTTTGTACCCTTCATCATTGGCATATCCGTCCTCACGCTGATCGCCTGGATCTTCATTGGCTTTTTAGACTTCTCTCTCGTGGAGAAGTACTTTCCTGTGAGTCTTCTTTTCAATCTCGATATCTGTACCAAGCTCCTCGGTACAGCATCAGGAAATTACATCCATTTATTTAGACATGACTAAGTGTCACTGCATCTGATATCGTTCCTTATTACTGTTTGACTTTTTTTTCAGTGATGGGGAAAAATTGATTTGTAATTTATTTGGTAGAAAATCTAACAGCCCCCTCTCCTCCCCGCAGGGTTACGACAAGAGCATTTCCAAAGCTGAGGCCGTGATTCGTTTCGCCTTCCAGGCCTCCATAACGGTGTTATGCATCGCATGTCCCTGTTCCCTTGGCTTGGCAACCCCGACAGCTGTCATGGTGGGCACAGGGGTCGGAGCCCAAAATGGCATCCTGATAAAGGGAGGAGAGCCACTCGAGATGGCGCATAAGGTGTGTTGTTAATGATATTCTGACACCCCGATGCAGTCAGCCAGCTATGTAACAGACCAACTGTCAATTTAAAATGGATTTGCTTTTCTAGGTTACAAAACCACATTAGTCTAAATTGGCACGTGGAAGCTGAACCAGTGGCTCACTAGCAATAAGTGTGCAAGAGAGTTTTTCGGAAATGTTGAAGTGCCCTCTCATGCCAAATTACCTCTTACACACCCATTGGCAGATGTGCGGCCTGTTATTTACGGTAGTTTATTTTCCTCCACCCTCATTCCACCAGGACCCGCCCTGCTCTGCCTCTGATTGGCTAACACTCGTTGCCTTCTTTGCTGAATTTAAGTTTGTTTAAGATGTGGATGTTTTCATAATGATGGCAGCCTTCTTGTATAGAGCGGGCCGTCCTCTAATTTGAACATTGGAGCTTTGATACTCTGCTCCTCCAGTCCGCATGTTGAAGTGCGTCTAAAGGCTGTGTGTGTGTGTGTGTGTGTGTGTGTGTGTGTGTGTGTGTGTGTGTGTGTGTGTGTGAGAATTAGTTAGTTTAGATCCTGATGGGCAGGTGGCACCTTGCATAGCAGCCTCTGTAATCAGTGTGTGAATGGTTGAATGTCTTAAAATGCCACTTCATATCAAAAAGGTTGCAGACCCCTGCTCTAGATGTTACTCTAATTTAATACCGTAAAACATTTTAAATTCAGTCTGATAGTCTTTTTTTCTCATATCTCCTTCTATTGGCAGGTAGAGTCAGTGGTGTTCGATAAGACTGGGACCATCACGTATGGCGCTCCGAAGGTTATCCAAGTCAAGATAGTGGTGGAGGGGAACAAGATGCCTCGTTCCCGACTGCTGGCCATTGTGGGTACAGCGGAGAACAACAGTGAACACCCTCTGGGAGCAGCCATCACCAAATACTGCAAACAGGTTGGTCTCTACCTTTTAAATTTAACGCCCACACTCTACAATCTCATGATCCTCCATATGCTCCAGTTGTTAAACATTCATTGTTTTCCGTGTGAAGGAGCTCAGCACAGAGTCTCTTGGCGCATGCACCGACTTTCAGGCGGTGCCCGGCTGTGGCATCCGGTGTCAGGTCAGCAACACGGAGGCCCTGCTGAGACAGGCAGACAGTGACAGCGAGGACGACAACCAGCGCAACAGCGTCCTCGTCCAGATCAGTGACACCGGGATATCCACCAGCTCCCATCCCCTCATCATGGACCCAGAGCCACTAAGTATGCTGGCAAACACATTGTTGTAGGCGTGTATTCAACAGAAATACTGAACATTCTCATTTAGTCCTAAGATTACGAATCAAGGTAGTGATACAGTTGCACGAAATGTCATTCCCCTTTATGTTTCCTTGCTGTTGTCTAACCCAAATGATCTCTGTGTGTAGGCCTTGTTCAGACAGCCAACTACGTCGTGTTGATTGGCAACAGAGAGTGGATGAAAAGGAATTGCCTGCAGATTAGACCGGATATAGATGAGGCCATGATAGAGCACGAGCGCAGAGGACGCACTGCTGTTCTAGTAGCTGTAGACAGTGAGTAGTACCGTTTAATAAGAGATGTAGGCTTTTTATCTGTTTGCCGTCATTTCCTGATGTTATTGTCTAAAACTCTTTGTATTGTTACAATTGAGTATGATATTTCCCCTTGTGCGTAGGTCTGCTGTGTGCGATGATAGCCATTGCAGACACGGTGAAACCGGAGGCTGAGCTGGCTATTCGCACCCTGACCAGCATGGGTCTGGAGGTCGTGCTGATGACCGGAGACAACAGCAAGACGGCACGAGCCATTGCTGCTCAGGTACGGACAGGAAGTGGATATAGAGCTAGATAATTTGACAAATCAATATTTTAAGAGTGAAAATCTGTGCTTTTAATACAAATTTTTAAACATGTAAAATACGGAAGAGAAGAGTGATATGGGTTTGAGAAGAAAGCATTAGTAATGCTGACATAAAACTACAATGTTGCATTTAAAACCCCCCAAAAACACAACACTCATAAAATATTATTACAATATTGCGGTAACCAAATTCGTATTCATATCAAGTCTCTATGACGGCGTGTATGTTGTACACGTATGTATGTACTGTATGTTCGGGCAGTTTTAGTTTTAAAAAAAAATACATCATGAAGCCAGTAGAGGGAGGTAATATTCAGGTGCAAAACTGTATAGCATGAAAGATACATATGCGCGTTTTCTTTGTGAACATAAATAAATACTAATATGATTAATATATTTTGCACTCGGCGGCTCACGTTACCGGTGGTGTCTGTGGTTGATCCAACCTTGCAAAGTGAAGCAATGCGCTAATAAATATGTACGTTTCTTTCTCTGAATATTACCCCTCCTCCCCTGGCTCCAGACGTTTTTAATTCTTTACCACAGTCTCAAATGTGTTGTTTTAAAGCCATTATATTATTGCTTTTGTATTTTGTGGTTTGTGAGCCCGTCTGTCTCTGCCTCTCTCACAGGTCGGCATCAAGAAGGTGTTTGCCGAGGTGCTGCCCTCCCACAAGGTGGCCAAGGTGGAGCAGCTGCAGCAGGCGGGAAAGAGAGTCGCCATGGTGGGCGACGGTGTCAACGACTCGCCTGCTCTGGCCATGGCCGACGTGGGCATTGCCATAGGAACCGGGACAGATGTGGCCATAGAGGCAGCAGATGTGGTTTTGATCAGGGTGAGAGTTTGTTAAAAGTCTGTCATGAATTCATGTCTCTGGCCGACAGATCAGCTGTTTCATGACATGAAAACGTCAAACATAGAACGTCTGCCCTGCAGCATAGAGGCAGTGTGACACTGTCACAGAAAACACACAGTATGCAACACTGTCATGATGCCAAAGGTGTAATACAAGTCATACTGCAATATGCCATATTCATCAAGACAGCAACACAAGATATTTCACATTATCTGTGTTAACTTCAGCAAAATAAAGATACATTCACTTTACTTGAATGCATTAAGTGCCTTATATTTTGGGTCATTTTAAGCCAGGCTCAGACTACGGGAGTTTTGGTCTGATTTTAACCCTGATTTACCCGTCCCGACAATCTGAGGGGAAATCCGGTCCGGGCCCGTGGTCGGTATTGATGTCCGGCCCAGATGATCTGTATTGTGAGGGCTTTCACAAACCCTTTGCAGCCTCAGCGTGGCGGCCTCGGTTATTTCAAACGTGTTTGATATTTAGTTATCTGCAGGATAACATCACTACTTTCAGAGCGGGACCTAATAGTCATTGAGAGAGACAGCTGGAGCAGCTGACGGTGTTTCAAAGCAACGGTAAACGTTGTAGTCAATGAGGCTAACGTTAGCGAGCATACTACTATTGACAGATATTAAAATCACCCTTCCTAATTCTCGCTGAAGAATAGAGAACCCGTGTTGACCGGGTCCCCTCCAGCCATTGTTCTCATCCAGACTCGTTTAGCCTTCTGCTGTTGTTTTCTCACTGTAGAGCTTCACGACAGTGAGTTGTAGCGTCACATCAGTCTCAGTCATCAGTTTTGTTAATATCTTTTGAAACGGTAGAAACCTCACGTGAGGTTGCTCCCTCCGGCACAATCATTTTAATAATATCCTGTAGTGTGTGATGCGCCATTATTTTTAAATCTTGTAGTGTGAGCATGTTTGAAATTAAAGAGAAGAACATCTGTGAAGATTCTCCGTATGTGTGTGATGTAGTCTGAACCCAGCTTTAGTTGTCTTAATCAGTAGTTTGTAGCTAATTACTATTAGTATTTTCATTTTATCGTCCGCTCTCAATTTGCCCAATAAACACATTGGAAAAAGACGTCAATATTGCATCAGTATATCAGCATATAACTGCACTTAAAAAGCCTTTTGTCTTCAGTTCCATTTGTTCAACAAAATAATTTCCTTTTGTTTGTTTTTTTATCAAGAAGATTTTAATATAATCAATATCTGTTTACTTATCGCAAGTAATATTGTTATTGTGGTATTCATCATTATCACATATTGCATATTTTCTTCATATCATGCAGCCATAATGTTTGCAGTGTCAGAATAATACTTCTAGATCTAAAATAGGTTTGGTTTGTTTTTCTATTATGTACCACTGTTTTTAAACTGTAGCACAATGTATCTGATATTACAACCTTTTCTTTACCCTTCTTTTTAACCCTCGTCTGCAGAATGACCTCCTGGATGTGGTGGCCAGCATCGACCTTTCTAAAAAGACTGTCAGGAGGATCCGGATCAACTTCATGTTTGCTCTCATCTACAACCTGGTTGGCATTCCTATTGCTGCTGGTAGGTGACTGCAAAAAGATGTATTCAAGCGATGTCATCGCATCGACGGTAATCATTGCGATAATGTCGACCACGCGGTGCTAGTCTGACCCGTGTCGGTCCACAGGTGTGTTCCTTCCTATTGGCCTGGTGTTACAGCCGTGGATGGGCTCTGCAGCGATGGCTCTGTCGTCCGTCTCTGTGGTTTTGTCCTCCCTTCTACTCAAATGGTAATGAGATATTTAACGCTATGTTGTGGCCATTTTATCACCCTTTTCATCATAATCTTTTTCCAATCACTTTCCATATTTGTCTCTCTCTTTGTTTAGTTACACTAAGCCCACTGCTGAGATGTTGGAGGCCAGACTGGGTAACAGCAGCAGGCGGCAGGGCAGCCTGTCCGACGTCAGCGTCCACATCGGCATGGGCGAGCTGCGTCGTCCCTCCCCCAGACTCAGCCTGCTGGACCGCATTGTGAACTACAGTCGTGCCTCCATCAACTCCCTGCGCTCCGACAAGCACTCGCTCAACAGCTTGGTGCTCAGCGAGCCCGACAAACACTCGCTGCTGGTGGGGGAGGCGCAGTGTGAAGAGGAGTTCTGCTGAATGACCACGTAAGGCTCACACGGGTCAGCATTGACTTTTATGATGGCGAAGAAGTAGATGGCGAATGCGTTTATTCAAGGCTCGGCCGTGCTAAGCTTAAAGGGTTGAATAGCGGTCCATCCGTCTGCTGTAGAGGCCTCAGGGCAGCGCCGTTGACTTACATGCCCCTCGTTTTCTTTTAGCTGAAACAGCTGATCACATGCACTTCAGAGCTCGAGGGGGGGGCTTTCTGTCCCTCAGTTGCAGCCTGTTTGTTGAGGTCGCCCCCCCCCTCGGGCACGCTCTGACCAACCCTATGACACTCTCTGTGTGCACAAGAGTGAAGCCTCCACACAGAGCCTTCCACAACCAGGAAGCAGAAGGACAATCAGCTCAGCTGCCAGGACAATCTTTAACACCCATCCAAAGACATGTCACCAGTGGTGCCCCGTATACGAGAGGACACTGCTTGTTATATTTTAACTCACTTCCTTGAATGAAAAATTATTATAACGCTGTTGTATAATTCTATTCCAGAGTATTTATATTACCTTTTATTTATCTTTTTTCATTATATCCTTTGTGAAACATGAAGTTGTTGAATCCAAAATGCGAATTTTCACTTTCAATCTCCCAAATTGTGTAATTAGTGAGAAAAGAAGTCTTGTGACTCGATGGAATCAGATGGTTTGTGCAGAGTGCTAATGGAGTGAGTTGTAAATGTCAATGTTACCCAAGTGCCAATTGAAGTGCCACCTTGGCAAAGTCCACCACATTCCAAAGATAGCACCGAGCCGAGGTTACCTCGCACTGAAAGGGGAAACGGAGTGAACAGAGAAGGTCATCAGCTCACTGCAGAGACTCGACGCCAACGACGGAAGACTCGATCAAATGTTCCTACAGCTGTGTCGACCCTCTGCGTCTTTGCCTAACGATCCAGGATGTCGCTCGCTGAATATGAACGTTATTCGCTGTTAAACTTAAACGGAGATTGTTACATGGACGACCTAGTTTGTGCTTTAATTACTTTAGCTGCTCGTTGCAAAGAGAAGGATTTGTGTCGTGATGCAGTTCGTTGTGAAAAAGCCAAATGGGCCTTTTTTCACGGAAGACATTTTGGAATGTCACAGTAGGAAAATGGCTGGTGTGAATAGTGACATGAATGAAGGCTGGATTCCATTTAGCTGCTTTAGTTTCATATTGTGCAGGCTGTGGCCCACTTAGGAGGGACGTGTACTTAACGTTAACACAAGTAACTCTTTTCCTACTATCACTCAAAATGTCTGCTGTGGAAAAAACAAGCCTATCACAGATGCATCTGTGTTCTGTCTGTCGTCACACTAGACAAGATGTGATTGTTTCCAGGAATGTCTGTCAGTGGTGTGTCTTTGTGCTTTTTTTTTATGTGAATCACACTGTTGCCCTTGATCAAAGAAACATCTTTAAAGCCACACAGCAGGATCAGCAGACTGAACACAGCTGTGTCTCAGCAGCACCACCAAACACGTCACTGAGGGACAAACGTTGATGAATTAAGTAGAGTTACTTACACATCACACGGCACACGTTGTATAATCGAGATGACATCTTTCAGTAGTAGGCAGCTGCTGTTAAACTGTGCTTTATTATTTCTCCGGTAAAAGTATAACAAAGATGTTCTGCTTTACTATCGACTGTGTCAACTCAGGACATGATCACTACAGTCCGGCTATTCCTGTCATTTTTGTGTCTGAGCCCCTCTAGTAATTCTTTCGGATGATTGAAGGAGCCGCCAGTTTGTCCTGCTGCTTTCCCATGATGCATCAGGGTTCTGTAGCTGTCAAAGCGCTCTGTGTGCAGTTGTTTTCGTTGCATTGCTTTGTGAAGACGGCCGTAGGGCTTCGGTTCCGTGAAGCCAGTTTGCTGTCTTTCATAGTTCTTCTGAACATGATGTGCCTTGGAATAAAGCACTTTTGTAACGTCACATTGTCCCGTTTGAACCAGAAGATGGCGCTTTGGAGCTGCATGTTGAACATAATCAACAAACACCAGATACAAGATTTCATCAACTTTATTTCTTCGTTAGTCTAAACATCACATCACCTCAGTGTACTGCGGAACAAACACCATGTTTTTCTTGTATTTTAAAAATATTCATTGCTATGAATGCAAACTGTAAATGACTTCTTCCTCTTGAGTCGATTTGTATCGCTTTGGCTGTAGAGACGTTTCATCTCGTTTGGTAGATAGAAGCTTGTTGACATGTTATTTATTAGGTAGTGAATTTCATATTTTTTAAACACATTAAAGGGGAATTAGTTCTCATCGGATGCAGCCAGAGGTTAAGGGACACTCGGAAATGGAGTCTACCAAAAGGTAAGTTTAATATTTATCTCTTCTTGGATGTACTGAAAAGTATTGCGGTCAGGAAACTGAACAGGTTCAACAAGTTTTTAAAATGTGCAGCATTTGAAATATGTTGACTTATTGTGCTTTTCTGGACTAACACACAAAAACAGCTGAAATTGGAAAATGCTACGTTCAGTTACCTTTTAACACTAAATAACAAACTTCACTTGAAACAGCTCCACCTCCAACACATCTCTCTGCACACTATGACGAGCTAAAATAAAGGTACTTTTACAGCAATATATGCAAGTAGATTTACAGGATATTGAACATTAAACACCTGACACATTTACACATGATCAGCAAAAGATGCAATGAAATCAAATCGTTGTTTACAAGAGTTTGATGTGTTTCAAATACAAAATCATTCTTAAAGTTTCAGAATTAGGATAGGTTTGCTAAATACTGCTTGTTGGTTTTGTGGCTTTAAGTCCATCTTTTTCACTCTAATCCCTGATTTTAATGTCCAATGATAAATCTCCTGTAAATGTGGCACACAAATGCAATCAATGCAGTCTACAGACACAGTCTACACCGACAGTGTCCATTATCGTCTGAATACTGACAACTCCAGGACAGGTACAGAACAGAAGTTAAACCATCAGATGGTGTGTGCTGGTGTAACTGTCATTTCTAAGGTGTGCATATTTCTCACTTTAACAGCAAAATATAAAGAGCAGGTTGTTAATGATCCATGATTTTAACTGGGAACCCACCAGGCTGAGGTCAAAGATATCCTGTACGATGAGTCCATGGAGCGGGTTGAGTTCATAATGGCAAACGTCACATTTAAAACACATTGTTTAGATGGATTCCTCTGATATCCTTGCCTTGAAAAACACTATCTCAAAATAGTTTTTTGGCATTTTTTCCCTACCGACATCCATATCTAACATGTATTATAACACATCCAGAACAATATGATGAAACTGTCGCCTAAATCTAAAATGTGTCACTTTGTGCAGTTATAATCAACCCTCTTAGGACGCTGCATCAAGGTACAGAAGATGGATACAAGTCTGTTGAAAGGCATGAATGAGTAGTTGAATATTGGTGGGATCAAATACTATGATCGCCAAATCCTGGATTAACTATTGGAGATTATGGATTAGTTAAGTGAGAACCAGTGTTTATCATTAGTTACACCTTTTGTCACCACCGTTCAGCTCTCCTGATTGTGGCCTCGGAGTGACTAGATATACAGAAACATATTTTCCACGGGTTGAATCATAGGAGTGGTTTGTTCATGCATGTTTGGCAAGCAGAATAAATAGTATGATAAACACCGATTATTAAGACATAAAATAGCACCGTGTTGGCCGGTCAATGGTTGCCGTCATAGCATCACATTTTATAGGGTGGATCCCTGGAGAGTTGTTTTCAGATTGATGATTAGATGTCGAGACCTCAAAGCTCACGATATGAGTACTCATTTGGCAAAATAAACTGAATGAAAGTGAGTTTAAGTGAATGCCATTCTTTGAAATAACAATGTCATGAGTAGGAGGTTGTAATTGTTGATGAGGTGTCAAAGAAATTTGGCAAAAGCATGAACTGCAGAGGTCTTTGTATAATCAATAATAAAATGTGATTAGAATCAATTGTAATGCAGGTAAGAAATAAGCTGACTGCCAACCTCAGGTAGGAGAGTGTGAAATGGTTTGGTGGCGAGAAACGATCGACGAGTCACACACTTCAAAAAAAAAAAAAAAAAAAAAAGCACTGTACGGAAAGAATGTCCACTTAAAACGACCCCACAGTGCCCACTATACAGCATCCGTCATGATAAACATCATACTTTCTATCCGGCCCAGTTGGAGAAAATCTTCTCTAGCAGTTACAACAAAATCAACAATCACATTGACAAAAGCAAACATGTCGTTACAAAGAGAGGGAGTCCCCAGATATCCATCTGAATGGTGGAAATGAGGAGACCCAAACTTAACTTTGGCACACTGAATGAGGAGGGCTGGCAGAGAGGCCAGGACTGAGCCTGCAGCTGTGTTATGGCAGTGTTTGGATGAGTGGGCTGCACACTCATAGCCCTTTGTTGAAGAAGACCCTCTCCACTCCGGGGTGGTTGGCCCGGATTTTCTCCTGCAGCTCCGGCTCCAGGCGGCTGACTGACATGGAGCTGGATCGGGGGGGAATGGGAGAAACGGAGGGTTCAAACACATATACTGTAGGCATGTTATGCAACTTTTTCAGGCAGAGTCGAATCATGCACACTCTGCATATATTCAACGAGAGAGAGAAGGGCCTGGCTCTGTGGCTACGACAGACTGGTGTACAATCACCTCCGGGTCAAGTTTGAACTTTTCACTCACCTCTTCTGAGGGAACAATGCGCAGCACAGTGGAGTCGCAAACACCAGGCTGAGAAAGAAACAGAGCTATGAAACACGCTGCACAGATAAACAGTCCAGAGCTTCCTGTTCTGACCTCGTCTGATTGGCTAAAAAAAGACACCTGATGCTCCTGCTGTCACAGGAAGCTGGTTGTTTCATGTGTACAAATATCGGTTTAACATATTATTGTGATATTACAATAACATATTTTTGTAAGACACCGTCTTAGTTTAGCATGTTAGCATGCTAACATTTGAGAATGAACACTAAACACACCGACAGCTGAGGCTGATGGGAATGTCATTCGTTTTGCAGGTATTTGGTCATAAAACAAAGTAGTGCAGAAATGCATTTTTGGCACGATGATGTCGCTATTATGAGAAGTTAAAGGACCACCAAAGTCAGAAGAATTGATCCTCTGGTGACCATGAATGTCTGTGAAAAATTGAATGGCAGTGCAAGTTAAAATTTGCAAAGATAACACTTGTTTTTACAATTAACACTTGAAACGATGAAGGCACTTGCAAATGACAAGGTAGCGGCTAAAGCAGAGAAAAGACAAGATTTGTCGTCAGTCTTTATGAGCGCATTCCTCTTAAACAGCAACGTTTAAAGTGACATAAACCTTATGGTGACTGAAGTTTCATATCCCATAAGGAACAAAAGAGGAAACGTGAATGGAATTTGACATGGCTGTTTATCAGGTGGACCATCTCTGACAACTCACCAGAATCCCACCAGGGTGACTTGAATAGGTGCACTCATCCATGGGAACTTCTGAAAAGACCAGGCAGAAAAAAAACGAATGAGCGGCACAAAAGCGGTGGTGAATTCCCATACAAGAGTGGCCTCATGTCCTCAGCGCCTTTCATTGCTCTGATGTGTGATTACGACATGGAAACAGAGTGGTAGACACAGCGAGGAACATGAGGTTCCCACCATTTAACATGTAACACATTAAACCTGCGAGGATGAAGCTGATGCTGGAGGTTACATTGTGTCTTAAAGCATGTAACGAAGCAGAAATAGGCCTACCCTCAGAAAGGCCTTCTTTTCCAAATGGTTCATTAAAAACGGGGGGATCGCTGAAAAGACACAAATAACACATTTTTAAACATAATAAAGTAGTTGGTTTAAAATGACGCCACCAGCTGCCAGGGGAGGAGTTAACAAACCTAACAGCAGGTGTCTTATTGGACTGATGTAAATATATTCATACCCATTCCTGGAGAAGCCATGAGGATTCTGGAGACCACAACCTGAGAGATAGCCTGCTGTGCAGCGTTCGTCGACTCTCCTAACCGGTTGTCATTCTCGTCTGTTATGGGAATGCCGTGTTGAAGTTCTCTGAAAACAAGGAGCAAATTAAATCTGAATCATCTGACCTTTCGTTACACCTACAATGAGGAATTCCAGGGACATGTTTCAATTGCAAACATGCTTCAAACCCACACCTTTGTCTCATCAGAGGGATGTTGATACAGTTAGCAGCAGCAACAGCAGCAAATGGAACAAACCGTCCAATCAGAGGTGAGATGTGCTACAGCAGGAGAGAGGAGGCATAAAAACAGGAAGGAAGAAATTAATAATTTGGCTCGGCTGTGCATCACGGACAATTCAACCTCTCAGACCAGTAGACGTTATTGCAGCTTATATTCCAGGTGATGTACGTGTACTTTTCGACCATAAATCAGCACAAAGTCAAAACATTCTGATACCAGAACCATGACCCTGTAAATAATACAGCTCCTCTATGACAAAGAGAGTTTGTGTGTGGCTAACTCATGCCAGCACACCCGTGCAGCTGAGGTCGGCACATTAAAATGAGATGTATAATGGGTGTTAGATGAACTTGTACCTTTGTTAGTGCATTTAGTCCTAGAGCGGTGGCAACCGCCCCTGTGGTGGCAGACACATAAGCCGTGCCAAGCTGACTGCAAACAGAAGAGTCACCGGTCACATCATACGAAAACTGTCCACAACACACACACAGACCCCTGGTTGAATTAAAGGGTTAATATGAGCCGGTATCAGAGCCAAAACGCCCGTCTCTTACCTGACCGTGATGGGAGCATCACCGCTCCTGTTGGTGTAGTTGACTATTGCGTTAAAAGACTGATTGATCCACTGCCAGACCACCACCGCTGGAGTTGTCCTGCAACATTGAAAACAGTAGAATCAATGGCAATTCACACGTACAACTGCACAAGTGATCATATTTTAAGTAATTAAGTTAAGGAACAAGGGCGACCTGTCATAGTAGGAAAAACACAGGCGTCACTCATAACATTATTGCTCCATTCTATTCTAGTGTCCCAGTAAACCACGACCAACCAAACAATGGGAATAGTGTCAGTGATATAGTTGAATCGATAAGCCCGGGTGTACCAGTCACAGTCAGACAGTAATAAATCCTACAATGTTCTTACTTGTAAAATGTCATCATGCATCCAGTGATCGTCATGTTCATCGGAACCTGGGCTGACATGCGGCCAATCAGGATCATCTTCTCCCCAGTGTCGGGATGGAAAGCCGAGTCAAAAACATACTTTGCTCTCCAGAGTTCATCTTCTGTCAGTCCTGGGGAGACTACACCTTTCCTAGGAGGCAGTAAAAACAACCTTTAAAGCAAACCCACATTCATAAGAGCACATCATGTATAACCTGGTGTATTGCTACTGCTACAACTGTACAACAGCTGTAGCATTGGTCTACCTGTAGTCGGTGATGACTTCGTGTGCATGTGCTAGTTGTTCGTTGGTGAGGAGAATGTTCCTGGGGTCTGTGACAGTGAAGAAATGTTTGGCCCGACCTACAAACGTGCTCTGGTCCCACCGGGGCTCCTTGATGTTTATGGAAGTGGATAGCTCTGCTGCCATATTTATCTGGAGAAAGACAAATGTTTCAATAATTATATCTGGTATTTGCAGCGCACAAAAGTATGTAGGATGCTTCACGGTTCGAGGATTTTCAGTCGCCTTCTTCTGGAGTAAATAGATCGAAGCAGGAAGAAAGAAAAAAAAGAAGCAACTTCTCTGTCCAGCAACACGGATGTCTGAGGATTAGTTCTCTAGAATAACTGTGTTTCATGACTGCGTTGTATTTCGCTGATGGCGACTGATATTGTTCCAGGATTTCAGGGCCATGCTCCAGCACTCACCCCATGAGTTACAGTCTCTCGCTTCCTTTTTTCTCTTTGCAGACACAAGTCAGTGAGGGAGGACTCCTGAAAATAATACTCCTCCCTGGATTGCAATGCCGCTTATTCAGCATAATGTTGCTATGGTGATGGCTGACCTGACACCAGGGTTGTGAAGCACTAAATTGCAAAGCCCTATTATGGGTGCACACCAACCCCCCAAACTGTGCCCTTTTGGAAAGTGCCAAAGCGTTCTGCATGTGCATTGTGAACAACCGTGATTGGCTGCACACTGCTTTTGAAATTATGTCTATCAATACAAATTGTGTTCGGGCTAAGTGAGCGAAGAGCAGCGTGTTATGCAACTATATTAATCAACACCACTAGTGAGCAAGTTTTATGCATTTATCATCTCACAATCCAAAGCCAGATAAGACTGGCCTGCATTGAATAGACGCTGCACTAGCATAAAACATCAGCTTTGTGAATGTGCATGCAGCATGTTCATTCTACCCAGTGTGTGTGTGTGTGTGTGTGTGTGTGTGTGTGTGTGTGTGTGTGTCTCCAGATAACCCAGTCTGATCTGGTTTTTAACCCATTTGTTCCATTCTCCAGCTGAACTGCTGGGAGACCAAGGACACACCGAGGGTGCAGCGAGTCCATGCACAAATGTGCAGCAGCCATAGGGGCAGCAGCATGATGATGAAACTCCACCTGAAATTGCACCAAAGATGGCTGCTGGATTGACAATAAAACAGAGAACTCTTGTTTGCTGGCGGTTGTCGCGTGCTGTCTCTTTAAATTGAATTAAACTCCATGAGATTCTCACGAGATGACAACAACCCCCCCACACACACACACACACACACACACACACACACACACACACTCACACTCTAAGATTGTCCAATGAAACACTAAATCACTGCACGAGTTGGTTTGAACAGTAGGTGATTAACCCCCGATAATAGCACATAACTATATTTATGATTCATTGATGGTGATAGAGGACTGAACTTTGCACTGACACGGCCTTTGATCTGTAAACCCTCAGATGCCTCTGACCTCACGCTCAACCAATCAAGGGCGGCCTGGCTACACATTAACCTGCAATGCATAACACATTACAATCAAATATTTCAGCAAAAATCAAAAACCCTATGGCAGATAGTTTACCCTTCGTGTATTGTGTTCTCGTGCATCCATCGCACTGTGATAGCGGCTTTGTGGTCGCAGGGTGAACATGCTCTGTGACTGGATACGAATATTGTTCAACCCGACGTAGACCAGTCAGATCTGGACTGTACCTGGAGGTGTTTCTGCATCTGAACAAAGCGATCTTAGTGAGACTTTATCAGACAATAAAAAAAAAAAAAAATTCTAAGAATCATCATTTTAGAAACGACTAATTAGCCACGGCATCTGTCCAGCGCAATAACAGTCCAGCTGTGTGCCCCAGATTCAACTAGTATCAGCCTGCCACATCCACACAGCCAGCAGGCTGCTCGAGGAGCCCCACGCGTCTAATGACAGTTTACCCGACCTCAGACAACAACGTGCACGCGCGGCTTTTTCTATTGTTGACGTCTTGATTGAGCCGTTAAAAAAAGACAATAGGGACAGGTTACTTACTGCACTGTGGGCTCCGGCAGGTCCGCAAGAGGTGTCCCTGAAAGACTGCAGCCAGCTAATTTAACTGTGCAAGCAGCGTCAGCTCCGCTGCAGAGCGCACGAGAGGTACATCCCACCGCGGTGACAAAGTAAAAGTCCAGAAACACACTGGAAAAAGATTGGCGGTGTGACACTAAAAGACAACGGGAAATAACGAGTCTTGAAAATAAAAAATGATTTTCTATTCTTCTTCGAAAATATGTCAATCTTAGGTCAACACTTGAAGTGGCAAATTAGGTTTCATTTCACGTCCTTTCAGTGAGGCTTTTATTTTCAGCAGCGAGCTGAGCACCACATCCGTTAGAGCTCTGACATTTCTGCGACTTTGATTCACCGGCAGTAAATTATTAATAACTGGTAAAACTTTGGATTTTCACATACGGCCTGACATTGATGGCCGACACGAATGAAAAGTTTCCCTTAAAACAAATCATTATTTGGTCTATATATAAAAAAATTAGGAAAACATCAAACAAAATGAAAAGCTAAATTAGTCCTCTATGGCACAGCCTTATCCCTTTTGCAATCATCATACACCAAACGTCTTTAGTACATAAATACACAATAAGTACACAACCTCCTGCACACACTCACAGTAAGCCTGATAATGATTATGATCAGTGGATCTTCAGCAGCTTCTTTCTGCGTGTCTGTTTCCATCTAGCGGTGACTGGTGAGAGGGAATAATGCCACAAACTGTGCTGAAATGAAGTACATGACGAAGCAACTTCAGTCTTTATTTCGTATAGTGGTGGTTTTTTTTAAACAACTGATGTAATTGGTACCAATATTGCTTACTTAAATGAATTACATTAACTCCCATAAGAGACAGCAGGGCAGGAAGAGGGCTACTTACACTATAACAGGGTATAAAAAAAGAAGAGTCTGTCAGTGCCATGTGATAAAAATCAAATACAAAAGTGCAAAGAGAACATACTCATTTCCGACGTCTAACCCTATCATTTCACTTCACAAAATAAACTGTTGCGCTTCAGTTACAAAAAGAAAGAGTTGACATTATATTTACTGCAACCTTTGATTTGAGGCCATGCCAAGTGTTAGATGCGGCTTACATACTGTATATGGAAACACTCTGCTCATTATCGACACACACATTACTTTGCTTAAACATTACTTATTCTCTGCATCAGTTCATTCATGTCTCCTGACGAACCAGCAGGTATTGTGACCGTATTGTTCATAGTAGCAATCATTTCTAGCAATAAAAACATCATGCACAGAGAGGAAAAAGTTGAAAGGATGGTGGTCTTTAACTAGATGTGATAGTTTCCATTTCATTGTGATTATGGCAGACATTTTATTTGTTTTTTGGTCCATGAGTTAAGAATGCTTCTTTTCTCTGTGTAGCCTTTTGCCATCCTCGCCAGTGATCTTTACAGGAAGTAGTCTGGCGTACGCCGCGTCACATGGGGCTCCCCTCTGCGTGGCGCAGGATCGAACTGTAGGCTGAAGCAAAGAAAAGGCAAGAGTTGTCCTCAATAATAATTCCTTTTTTAAGAAAAGTCCATACGAAAAATCGACATGTTTGTAACAAAATGTACTTACAAGGAGTATTTCAACGTGTCATCAAGTTCCATGATTGCTGCCTGGTTTCCACAACGATAACAATAGTTCGGTGCACTGAAGATCGTCACTACGTTGCGGTCGTGGCACCAATTATAACCCTGGATCAAAAGGTTACCTGCATGTTATTTGTTTCAAACATTTTAAGTCAAAGCTGCATCTGCAGTGTCTCCGATTAAGAAACAGAATTACTTTCAGCAGATAAACAAAGTTAAAGTACCTCCATCACCAGCTGGTGGGCTCTTGAGACCAAAGTTAGGCCGTTGGCATGGTTGAAGGTCTCGGAAATGTCCTGCCCGAAGGTGTAACCAGCGCCACGAGGTGAGATGCCCCAGCCGCCACGGTCATCTGGGTCGGACCATAACAAGTCACACATTGGACCCTGAGAAATGGAGGAAACATCAGTGTTGTTTAGTCTCTCGCACATACAAACACAAAATATGTCTAATGTCTAGAGGTTTTAGGATACTGTCAAACTAGACTTCTATTAGGGCTGCACCTAAAAAATGTTACAATTTTGTATTAATCTAGTTATTGTTTGAGCTATACACTGTCAGACAATTGTGACCAAGAAAACCCCCAAAACATATAAATGATTAATAAATGATTCAAATTGTTGCTAATAAATTTTCTATGGCTCAATGAATTTATTAGCATTTAATCGTTTCAACTCGAAACTTTCAAATGAAATGTGATAAATGTCCAATATATATGATATACACATTTCCAAGATTGTCGGAGCATCCTTGCATCTACATGCACCATCATACTCCTTAAAATAAATGCTGTAACATCCTGTTATAACAGTAAACTACAGAATAATACACAATCTAGAAGGGCTCTTCCTCAACTTACCTCATGAGGAACCTCCTGCAAGCGATCCAGCGCTCTGATGTGTTCCAGTGTGTCTATTGAAGGGGACAATCCACCATGGAGGCAGAAGATCTTTACGGAAGAGGCAGAAAATAAATGATGAGTCCCTGTATCTTTGCTGTACGTCCCATGCTACATGTGAATACACAGCCGTACCTGGTTATCCACCAGCGCAGTAAGAGGCAGGTAGTCAAACAGATCTGTGAAGTACTTCCAAACATTGGCATTTCCATATTTCCTTAAGCACTCGTCATAGAAGCCGTACACCTGTGTGATCTGTCTGCTCTCGTGGTTCCCTCTGAGGATTGTGATTCGTTCACGGAACCTTACCTACGAAGAAAAATGGTTTTATAACAAAATACAAGAATAATCAGCGATAAATATTATCTTTCTCCCAGTTCCAAATTCATATACCAGGTGTAGCTGACATATATCACAGCATCAGTGGCAACGTGTCATTTGTTTACCTTAAGAGAAACCAGAAGAGAAACTGTCTCCACAGAATAGTAGCCTCTGTCAACATAGTCTCCCATGAAGAGATAGTTGGTGTCTGGGGACTTCCCCCCGATCTTAAACAGCTCCATCAGGTCATGAAACTGACCATGGACGTCCCCGCAGACGGTCACCGGACATCTCACCTCCTGCACGTTGGACTCCTTTGTGAGGATCTCCTTTGCCTTAAATGGAGGACCAAGAAAACACAGGATGATGCTGATTAACAGGTAACACAGAGTATGGTGCAGTGTAGGAGTATACGATGAGCACGTGTATTACACAAGCCTTATTAACACTCTATAACACTAAATGTGCATCGTTTTGTCAGATCGTAAAGGACACAGAAGAGTATTATAGTTTGTTGTGGTAGTGCCGGTGCACTCCAGTGAGGAACCAGGAGTGGGCGTAGCTAGAGAAAACATATTTTGCAGCCATCCTCCTCCATCTTCTTGGCGAGTTGCTTCCCTTGAGCGATGTGCTGCATGCAGCTGCAGTCAAATGGTGTGCTCCAAAGCAAGGCCACATGCATTAGCTCATGTTAGTTCCGCCAGTACATTTATTCTGAGTACGACGATGCAACGTTAACAGCTAACGGTCCGCTAGCATTGCAGAAAGCTAATGACAGGTATTAATAGCGTGCTTGTCTCCCTGCGCAAACCTTACCTTTTCACACAGGACTTTGACCTGATTCTCACTCAGCTGTTTGCACTCATTCAGTTGTTCAATCCATCCGTCCAACTCCTTGGTGAATGACTTGTCGTCCATGGTTTGCCGTCAGCTAGCGAGCCGGCCAGCTTTAAAAAAATGTCGAAGGAAAACAACTCGCTGTTTCGTTACGTTTTTGGTTTCCAGGCTACGCTACGTTCTTAGCGAGCTCTCTGGTCATTCGCAGCTTGCATGTGTATTTCCGCGCGCGCGCGCAGACGCGCGCGTGTGCTCACCAAAAACGAATACGTCAACTGCTCTGCGTCCCTGCAGTTTGGTGCGGACAAAAAGTGTTTCGTTCACATGATACAAAAAATGACTTCTCGTTGTTAAACGACCAAGGTCACACAGATACCTATTAATATCGCAAGGACTATAAGACTAGCTCAGAGAAACTGTTACCCTGCTAACTCTGGTCCAGGTCCGGAGCGAGGCTCAGCAACAAATCATCTCTATGTCGTCGCATCCCTTTATACGGGTTCAAAAAAATAATGTCTCGTTTATTTGTCCAGGTTGATTTAAGTTGAATGGGTTTATTTAATCTTCACTGTGTTTTATGGATATCGGTTATTTAGAAAGTTAGATTTTTTTAGTTTATCTACCCTCTGGTGGACGAAAACGGGAACAGTCAGGACCAACGATTGAACCTACAGTACGTTAAGGTCACTACAAATACGAGGAGCACATTCACAGGCTAGTTAGTTAGCTAGTGTTAGCTTAGCTGGCCAATAGTTGCATCCCAAACAGTTAGCTAACTGATTTATAGTGCAGATAATAGGCCCTTTGTAACAGAGGTTGAACCTGTGTGAACATTTTGTTTTGTCTATTTGCCATTTTATGACTGGCAGTGAGGAAACCCGCTATGTGGCTGTTTTAAAGCTAACGTTAGCTAAGCTAGCTCAGTTGTCAAATCAGAGCTAGCTAGTAAGATAGTTAACGCTAGCTAGCTAATTAACCAGTAGTCGGTAGCTAGCTTAGTGGAGGATTAAAAGTAAAAGCACTCTTTCCTACTTTTTACTGCAACTGCTGCACAACAATTTCCTTCGGGATGGATAAAATATTTTCTTATTTTAAGTATGACAGAGTTCGATAAAAGTTACTTGTTTTTTCAGCCAGTTAGTTATCTTAATTTAGTTGTTTAATGTTAAATATTGCTTGATGTTCATATGGTACCACACGAATATTATTTATTTAAACTAAGGGCCAAGTACAGTTACATTTGAATGAAGTTGGAAATGGTTTCATTGAAGTTTTATTTGATGTGGTTCAATGTGAGCGCTTAAAAAAAGGTTGATATCTTGTCACGAGTGTAGTTGTCTGAATGTCAAAAATTCAGTTTATGTTGAAGACTTTATTTGTATAAATATCTCCACAGAAAAAGAAAAAAACACATGCCAGTAATCAGACTATTTAATTGGCTCTCTCAGGAGAACACGTGAGACGTAGCTTTGAAAATTGGTTACCAACTGTGTGCTCCAATACTCATAACTACCATACTATTTAGTATACCAGAACATTATTAAGTATGTCCCTTTTCCCCACCTGTCAGATTGCGCCACACGGAAAAGACTACATTAACCACAAGCTTTGTTAGACGCCTCCCTCTGAAGAGCGCATGCGCAGTCGTTTGTTCTACTCTGGACAGCTGTAGGAGAAAATGGCAGCACTCATGCTAGGACAGCAGGTAAGACATTCAACCATTTTTGGTGATTTTAATCATTTTATGGTAGCTTTGACCGAAATATTTATGCCTAAAATAATCTCTTATTGTATTGTATCCGATCTGGAGACCAGGAGCTAACCCTAAATGTCCAACAAATCCATGCTAAGCTTTGCACTTGAATGACTGCTAACGTCTTAGCCTACCAGCTAGCTGTCTATAACGTAAATGGTACAAAGCGTGCCAAACGTTAAATCAGTTTAAGTTCTGGTTTCTCTATGTTGACATCATGCATTGTTTCTATTCTAGGTCCGCCAATTCAGCACCTCTGTGGTCAGACAAAAGCTGGTTAAGGTAAATAACGTCAGACTGCACGAAGCATAACTGCTCGTTTAGTAGGAATAGTGTTCGCAGTCTAGTTAATCTGTGTTTATGTGTTTACAGTCTCCCATCCAGGTCTATGGAGTGGCAGGCCGCTATGCTACTGCTCTGTTCTCAGCTGCCAGTAAGCAGAACAAACTGGACCAAGTGGAGCAGGAGATGGGAAAAGTTTCTGTAAGTCAAAGTCAACACCCTGAATTGCAGTTTAATGAAGTCAATTGTAGGTGAATGGATGATGAAAGTAGTGTTTTCAGCAATGTTTCGTCCCAAGGTGTTGAGGATATAAGTAATTTACATTGTGGGGTAAAAAAATCAATAAATGTGTCATATAGCAGAGGAGTGAAGCATTGGGATAATGATGTCATGATTTTAAAAGTTTGCAAATCCATGCTGTTCCAACTACAGCACATTCATTGCTGTGTGCCATCTTGTTTTTCAGGCCCTGATCAAGGACCCCAATGTTTCCAGTATTGTAATGAATCCTCATGTGAAGCGCAGCATCAAGCAGAAGACTTTCCATGATGGTCTTGCAAAGGACAAGGTTTCAGCCATCACTGTCAACCTCATCAGTGAGTGATCACTGTGCAGTTTAACATGGCACTATCCTAATCACAGCGTAGTCATTAGAGGTTACAGGAACAGTTCGATGAGTTCACCAGCACACACCAGATTTAATTGTAGTACTACAAAGAAGCCAAAGTAATGAACAGGTTTAGCACTTTATTTTTTTTATTAAGTGTGCTAACAGGAACCAACATGCAGATCGCATTATATCGTTTTCTTTATTCTCAGAAGTCATGTGCTGAAAGTGCACTTAAATATGTAATGTTTTTTTAATATCTTGTACACAAAACCTCTTTCTGTTGTGTTTTCTAAAGTTAAAAGATGCATGGTGAAGAACCAACTCAAATTGAAATCAAATGTTGCTCTTAGTACCTTTGACCTCCTATAGAGGTCACAGACCATGTGACTATTATACAGCCGTGGTCTTCCTCTGATCTGTAGCCTTCTTCTGATCTGTAGTCTTTCTCTGAGCTGTGGAAGTACGTCTTTTTTTGTTATTTAGGAACATTTGTTGACAAATGTGAACCATTTGCCAATTAAGCGGAAATACTAATTGTATAAAAATGTGCCAAAATACAAATAATGCGATAAATAATGGCTTTTTAATCGTCCAGTTATAAGCTCCACAATGCTTTCCCCATGGCAGCAGTGCTCCACCATCCCTATGGTTCAGTCCGCATAGGAGTGCAATATTAATTATGCTGTAGTAGATAAACTACTTTGCATTTAGTCAAATAAACAAACTATCAAGTGCACAAAGACTGTTCAGACCCCGATTAGTGGCACAAACTAACGGACGGCTAATGTAAACTATAGCTATAAGATAGCAGTGTTACTTTGACTGTCTCAGCCTTTCAGCAGTTTGGTTGATTTTTGTGTATTCTTGCTCTACTGTTAGTTAGTTGTTGGCTTAGTAGTTAGTAGTATTATCCTAATTAAAGACTGAATTTAGATGGTGTGGACCCAGTAGTAAGGGTGAAATGCTTCCCTCTTTTTCTTTGGAGCTGGTGGCTTTGCTTTACACATTGCACCTTAAGGCAGTCAGTTAGTATTGCAGAGAAACACAAGTATTCAATCTCGCTCGAACGTATCCTGCTTTTTGTTTTGCAGCTGTTTTGTCTGACAATGGTCGTCTTCCTATAACTGGTGAAGTTATCGTTGCTTTTCGCAAGATGATGAGTGCCCACCGTGGAGAGGTCATCTGCTCCGTCACCACTGCTCAGGTATGAAATGGATGGACATGCATGTATGTTCTACCACATCGTCGCTGAATCTCCTACACTGGAAAACTCTTCACCTCAAATATAACAGTCCATATGATTTAGCAGTCTCTTAAAAGTAATTAATGGCATTCTTTATACTGTAAATATGTTATACAATCAACCAATTCATATTTATCCATTTTAGCCTTTGGATGTCGCTAATCTTGCTGACCTGAAAGTAGCTCTCAAGGGCTTCCTTCAGAAGGGTGAAACTATCAAGCTGGAAACAAAGGTACAGTGTCAATGCATGATCCTAGAAACATACAAAATACAATTTTGCAGTTGGTGTGACCTTATTTTTATATGTAAGTAAAGTGGATTTGTATTTTCAACTGTCTCCTCTTCACAGTCGGATCCTGCAATCCTGGGTGGCATGATCGTCAGTATCGGAGACAAGTATGTGGACATGTCCACTAAAACAAAGATTCAGAAGCTGACTAAGCTCATCAAGGAAACTTAAGTCCTGTGGACTTAATTAAGCAAAAGATCGAAAGGCGACCATTGGGGAAACCGCTGATTAATGTATATTGCTATCTGTTCTGGCATTGCAGTTGCTCCATAAAATCCAGTGTCTTTACTTAAGTTGATATGGATGTTAATAAAACGTACAAAACAATGGAGAATGGTGTTTGTTGTAGTCATTGTTTATATGACACATGCATGCTCATATTATCTGTTACCAGTGATGATGATCTTTACACATGGTTTAGTTACAGTAACTGGAAATTCTGGACAATGTGTTGATTATGTAGTCTGTGGAGTTGTGATCGTTTATAATTGTTTATATTGTAAATGGAGGCCCACGTTTTTAGCTGCGTCTTTGTTTGACAAAAGCACGTTGGGTGACACTGATCGGCCTCTCCGTTTCCTGGATGCCTTTGTGCGCATGCGTGCTAAGCGCATCCTGTTTTATCAAATTCTTTTCCAGGCGAAAATGGCTGCCTCTCTGATCTAAACCTCTGCTTAAGGATTAAATGAGCATGAAATACATGCGGTAGGATCCTGAGAATTGCTGTCCCGCTTCAAGACAACAGCCATGGCCGCCAGGGCGTAGTTTGTGCGGCGTCTTCATAAAGATGTTGTGAGTGCCAGAGAAGGGGAATGTATGCGGTCCGAAATTAACCCTTTCCATCTAACATCCACCAACAAATACGGTACGAACTATTCATTTTCACCTTCTTCAAATAGATAAGCATTGACGTGAGGTAAAAATAATGTTCGTGCATTGGCACCTTTTTTTGTTGTTGCAAACTGCAGCCCTCGTTTACCTCGCTTTGTCTTTCCATCACTTGTGTGTTGTGTTGCATCGCTAAAAGGCCTGTTGGCGTCACCAAAAGTAAACTAAAAAGCTTCTTTGGGTTTGTGTTTGTCTGGTTACACGTGTAGTTTTTCTGTCAAATATTAATATTTATCTGCCCTCCCAACAGACAATGATGCATCAAGTGACCAGCAGCAACAGTGACTATTGTATGAGTGGACTGGCAGAGGACTGTCATCCAGCCAGCCACTTTGATTTATGTAGCACACAGTCCAGCAAATTCTACCCCTCTCAGACAAACCCTGGTCTGCAGCTGTCCCTTGCCGGCCTTGCCCCTTTACCACCGGGCATGCACAAAGCCATGGTATGTCAAATCCAAGACACCCAGAACGACTTCCAGCCTCAGACAGTGAGAATCAGGGGCAGTGAGGCTGCAGGGCCCGATGGCTCTAAGAAGAAGAAGGGCATAGTGAAGTCGGGGCGTAGAGGGAGGCCATCAGGGACCACAAAGTCAGCTGGTTATCGTACAAGTACTGGACGTCCGCTTGGGACAACTAGAGCGGCTGGGTTCAAAACCAGCCCAGGGAGGCCTCTTGGTACCACCAAAGCTGCAGGATATAAGGTCAGTCCTGGAAGGCCCCCCGGCAGCATCAAGAGTCTAGCTCGTCTCAAGAAGCTGGAGTTTGGTTGTGACAGCGCCAAGAAACTGGACTTTAGCAACTGCAGTCTTCCTAAGAAACTGGACTTCACTAGCTGTGATGTTCCACCTTTTCCATACACTATGATGGAGAAAAGACCCCTCTGTGAGTCCAGTGGCAAAGTGGATGAAACCAGTGAATAGATCTGCAGGTTACTCCCCACTGCTTGAGAAACATTCGTGTATGAGCAAGAAGATGCAGAAAACATTTCTCACAAATGTTAGAGGAAAGAACTTTTTGCCATTTAGAACTGGCTCTGAATGAGTGTTTGTACAGTGTTTCACATTTTCGTCATCCTCTCATAATAAATGACAAAAGTATGTTATTCCAGTTTGGCAGAGATGCATGCGTATGAATTAATCACACCAATCAGTATTGGCAAAAAAAAAAAAAAAAAAAACATTTTGAAGTTTGTGGTTAAAATTCTTCTTTTTTTTTTCCTCAAGCATTTTGTACCTATGTGTGACATATTATTTTTCTCTGCTTTTACATTTCTATAGCGTGTTTCTTGTGTCATTTTTTCACATTCTTAAAAATTCAAGTACAGCCAGTCAAATCAGTTTTTTCCTGGACATAAATATGTGGATGTATAGTTGTCCTTTTTGTGTTGTCCAGTTCAATATGCGTTTTATTTGTGATATCACCCCTAAAATGGGAACACTGCGATACATGTTTATTGAGCCTGAATAAATGCAGGCTAAATTAAAATGTATTTAGACTGCATAATATCCTTTTGAACACAGTATTTGTTATTTCTGCAATCTGTGAATACAGTTTTTACTATGTACCGTGACGGACTGTTTTCGTCACCAAACTCACTTGATAAGCACTTCCAGACTTAAATGTATGTTGTTAATGCTGTTAATTAGGAAATAAATGACTTCATACAACAGTTTCTGCTTTGTGATATATGTAATGAATGATAATGTTCTACATGTGAAACCAAAATAAAATAAATTGTCTTTTCCACATAACTACTTCCTGTCAAATTGAAAGCATGTAATTCTCCCCTGTGGACACAAGAGGGACCGTGTCCCCAGACGATATATTCACCTTGTAATAATACCTTTATTTATCCCTTGTTACATTAAATTACTGCCTACTGACATCCATGGTCTTACTTTTTGGACGTGTTGTTACATAATAAGCGGATTGGTTAAAAGGACAATTAGACGTTTTTTATAGTAAACGCTAGACAGCTGATTGTGGGTGTATAAGTCACATGTCGAAACTATCTAGCGCTTCTACTGGATCATTCACTCGAAAAGTTAAGTAAATCAACCACCCAAAGATGTGAATAAACAACCCTGACAAGCCTAGTATTTAAAAAAATAAATCAACACACGGGTAACGTGAAGCACCCCTGCTGCTGAGTCGGTCTTTGTTTGATCTTCAAGGATTGGGAGCCTATTGTGCTCTCTGAATGTTCGTGTTTATGGATATGGTTCAGTGTGATCCACCACGAGCGCACCGAATCCTTATCAGGGTTACGTGAGGGCACGCTGGACGACGGTCACTGGGGCTTTTGATCGGAGCAAAACCTGGTTTAATGCCCGCTTTGCGGCCACACTGACATCTTCATCGTCCTTTCCTGAGCGCCTAGCGGCCTGTTTCCTCATGTCAGAGGACTCAGTGGAAAAAAAGCCAATATGGCGCGCGGAGTTGGTTTGACCGGAGAGGCCGTGTGGTTGTTTGCGCAGTGCAATCATTTTGTATTGTCGATCTGCCTACGACACACACACACACACACACACACACACACACAGGCCTGTCAGGAGGGACAGAAACAATGGGACAGACGCGAATAAATGGGTCAAATTTCCAAAACGTTCATTAGTGTTTATTATGTCATATAGCTGCTCAGTAAAGGCTTCACTACCACTGACTATTATAAACTTTACCTGGACGTGCATGCGCGCGCGCACGGGTTTGTTTGTGTGTGTGTGTGCGTGCGTGCGTGCTTGTAAGTGAGCGCGCGCGCGTGTGTGTGTTAGGAGGGTGAGTGTCACGGCCCTATGCAGACGGGGGGTTGGGTAGCAGTGCCGATTGGTTGCTGCTCACCATCACAGTCAGCCTGGGCTTGTTTTAACATAACCGGGGGCACTTCGACAGCAGGCAAAAACCATGTAGTAAATAAGCCGCTGTGGCTGATCAGGGACCGGTTATGGCACACTGAATTTGCGGTGCAGCGTATTGGAGATTTACCTGTTCTTTTGTATTTAAGGTGACAGTTTTTTGTAGGGGGCCGCCGCTGATCAGGCGATGAAGTGCAGAGAATGAGAGCTGTGCCTTGGCCTACTGCTAGTGCCGCTGCAGCTGGGATTGTGCAGATCCGCTCTCACAAACCGAGAAAAATACTCGCTTTGTGCCACATTATCAAACATCCGCTGCTGGTTTCACGTTGACCGACCTCCAAATGGTGAGTTTTTCTCGTTTTTCCACGTGTTGATAGTGTTGTGAACTTAGTGCCGATCAGCCGTTTTTTGTGTGTGAGTTAATAGTAGCTTCCTATGTCGGTGTGTGGCTGTAGCTTGTTTGTGTGAGCCACTCACTGTGTTTCTGTGATGGCTCAGTGTCACCACCTCTATCTACTACTGCCTCAGCGCTCCTCCATTGACTGCACTCGTCAGCGATCGCCATGACCCACAGCCATCAGACAAAGCGGTAGGCTGCTATTTTCTGATAGTTTGTGAATGAAATGTGTGGAAGGAGAGGGCCAGCGGTTGAGTTCCGTGTTTTGTCTTGTGCTCTCCGACCCAGCCTCTAGTATGGAGGCCATGCAATGTCGGCTTATTAGTGTGTGTATGTGTGTGTGTGTGTGTGTGTGTGCGCGCACAGTGACAATTCGTGGCTGGTATGCTCCTTTATAGGTTTCTGTTTACTTGATGTGATTGTCGCTCTATTTCCGCAATGTTTTTTTGTATTTCTGTTAGCATGCTTGAATGAATTTACAGTAAACAAAGCTTGTTAACCTCCACAGATGTTTGTTAAAGAGAAACTTAAATGTATGGTACCTTCCCCTCGTCTAACCTGCCTCTTTTTCTTTTATTTGACAGGACATAGCCATGACAACATGAACCAGTCCTACAGGCCGGCTGTTAGGGTGGGCTCAGTGTTTGGCTCAGGCCAGCCAGAGCTGAGGCCCCGCAATGGTCTTGTGGGCACTTCCTATGGAAACCAATGTGGCATTGTGAGACGTGGGTCAGACCAACCATCAGCCGTGCAACTGCCATCCTCCAGCCTCAAACAGCCAGCTGCACTGGGGTACAATCAGCCAGACCGATCTCACTGCTACAGCCCGCTGAAGAGGCTGCAGGACCTGAACTCTGCGGTCAACAGGCCTGACCTAGAGAGGGACCTCCATCCTAGGAACCACTTGCACTGTGCAAGCCCGATCAGTGATGATGATGAGTTTGAGGCACCATCGGTCCAGCTGCCTCCTTCTCCGGGCAATGATGGTATGGAGCCCTTTGAGGCTCTGCGGGACGTGAACAGAAATGACTTCTCCCCTCACAGTCCTGACAGCATGGAGCGCTGCTCTCCCATCCCCAATGGCTACCTGCATTTTGAATCCACGCTGTTTGACAGCAGTGACATCAAGGAAGAGGGGGAGGACAGTAGTAGTGAGGACACGGCACATTTTCGCCACTCCCCAAAGTTGAGTCGGGATCGAACTGTGACTGACAGTAAGACTACAGGCAGCTCAGGGGTGGATAAAAGAACATACAAACCTACTGTCTTTAACCTGATGTCCAAAACCATATCTGAACTCAACCCTACACTAAGCCCCAGCGCACTGCCAGAAATCACTATGAGAGACGGATGGAGCTTCGGTGAGGAGTCGGACAGTGATGGTGAACTTACATCTCCTGTTGACCCTGGACTTATTTCACCAGCTGGCACCAACTCAAATGTGAGTCTGACACACCTGGGATACTTACTTTACCTTTACCTCTGTACAACCAATGTGACGTCAAAGTTTATCTAGGTTATGTATTACCACTGAGAAAGGCAATAATAATTCCCTTGTGTTGAAGTGATAATTAAGTATAATGTCACTGGACCTGGACGGGTACAGGTCTACCAGTTGTAGACCTGTACCCCTGCCATCCTAAGTATAATTTAATTGATCTTTCAGAAATAAAGGAAATGTAAGGAGCAACTTTTAAAAATATGAACAATAGAGAATAGTCAAAAATCAGTGCTAACACAATACAGGTTCTTAACTGTGTAAATATTGTTAGGACGCAAAGGTACGTAATGCACAGGATGATCTCATCTCTTTAGCTGTTATTACTCAAAAATGTCTGAAATTTTGATTTGATACTGACAATTTTGATATACACTACCAACATTTTCTGTATGAGATATTAAAGTATTTTCATTGTCCTGGTCAGTCCAATAGTCCAAAGAAGAAGCCTCTTCCTGAAGTGAAGTACATGAAAGGGGACTTGGTGTGGGCTAAATTCAACAGACGGCCCTGGTGGCCCTGCCATATCAACTGTGACCCAAACCAGGGGATCTACACTAAGATGAAAGGTGAGGTTTCATTCAAATCGAGCAGTGAAGGAGAGGAAGTTTGATCCGATTATGCATTTTATAATCAAATTGTTTACTGCAACTCAACCTTTACTTGACAGGTTGACGCCAACAAAAGGAATTATACTGTGTGTGCGCAAGGTAATTAGTAATTTGAACATTATTTACTTGGTTTCAGTTCCCCATCCCCGTCCTTGTCGGATGTATTTCCTGGAAACCATTGGGGAGATTGCGGAATGTGCCTGGGTCCCCGGAAATGCCGTTCTTCCTTTTGAGGGAGGCCATGAGTTTGAAGACCTACCTGTGCTTAGACGGAGAGGGAAGCAGAAGGAGAAAGACTACAAGTATACGGTAAATTCATGACATTACCTGAAAAATATAACACAATGTTATTGTGAACATTATTTTGAATGTTATTTCTGTTCTTGGCAGATACCCAAAAGTTTACTGACTGCGTGGAAAGTCAGTGTGGCAGAAGCTGAGGGTCTGCTCCCAGGTCGACGAAGGAACACTGAAAGCATGGCTGGCAATGGAGAGGAGCGTGTGGCCAGTCCACTCCCTACTGCAAAGCCACAGGACGCCCCCTCTGTCTCTGTGGATACTGGTCGACCCCCATCACCCAATATGGCCCCCAACGGAAATGAGCACGATGTCATCAAAAACTCTCCTTCAGTTCAACTTAATAAGAGCAAAGCTTGTAAGAAGAAAAAGAAATGTTTGTCAGACATATTTGGTCATATAGTTGGTGGATCAAAAGACTCGTCTACCATCACAAACATGGCGGAACGGTTTCATACAACAACTCGTACACTGAAAGATGAGCCAAAGGACTCACCTTATGCAGACCTGGATTCAGTTCCAATACTGCATCGTCCTAAACGCACATTAGTGTCTCCATTACACGATATAGAAAGATTGGTCAGGAAAGAACAGGGTTCAACGAAAGCTAAAACAAAGTTTACTGAAAAACTAAACCATTCGACCGATCCCTGTGATTCCTTTAGCATTTTAACAAAAGGGTTGACATCTAAAGACACGCATTGTGAACAGAGTTTGGGCAGCTGTAATGAATTGTTGTACAGTTCAACTGAAAAGCACTCTATGAATCTCCCTGCCAGCAGTCGTCTGATGACGAGGGCTCTGAGAGCAGAGGAAGAGACGGATCTCAAAGATGCACTGGCCTTAAGCGAAATCTCGACAGATGCCCACACTGATGATTGTCTTGAGAACACACCTACTGATGCACCCATCAAAACTGAAAGTTCTCCTCACTGGGAATCCCCCAGCAATGCATCATCCTCTGCAAATCACAGCTCTCCAAAACGGCGTGCTAGGAAGCCTGATAAGAAACAAATTCGTAATGGCTCATTGATGAAGTCTATGTGCTCGGGTGTAACCACTGTGCAACCGGTTAAGGTCAAGACCGAAAACCCAGATCTATCATCTTCTGCTTCCCCGTCCTCATCTCTGTCTCCAATGGATGCTTTCCAGGATGTCAAGGAACTCATGTTTAAATCTCTTGTGAAGGAGGACAATAGTGACTCTGAGCAGACCGCATTTCGGACTGATTCCAACTATAAATTCAGCACCTTCCTGATGCTCCTGAAGGACATGCATGACACCAGAGAACAAGAAGGTAAACCCCTGGCTGTCCCGCCATCGCCAGTCCTGATCAAGGAGGAACCCCTGGTCATCCCTACGTCCGAAAGAGGAGACCTGAAGGGCTTTTCTGATGGTTTCACCCAAAGGATCAAAAAAGAGAATGGGAGGTCACGGAAATCCACAACACCCAAAAGCACAGCGGGGAGAAGAAAAGCTATCATGTCAGCGGACACCTACCATTGTGAAGTCTTTCCTATTCGCTCTCAGATTGGGAACTCAGACAAGCAGCGTAGAAAACAAAGACTACCTGCTAAACTAAATCTCAGCATACCTGGGCTTTCTTCGGACCTGGCTAACCTGGCTTACGGTAGGGAGTTTGTTAGTGGCCACGCTGACTTAGCCGTTCCTGGGTCTTGTCCTCCCGCCGCTGCTGATCCCTCGGCCAGCTACCTCGACAAGAACTCAGGATCCACAGTGGCTCCAAAGAAGCGCTGGCAGATGGTTGAGGGGGCTGCTGAGAATAAGGGTGAAGTTATGAGCGAGGCGTCCTCTGAGATGAACGGGTCTTACAACATGAGAGCGTCACCAGATCTTGATCTGGGAGTTGAGAAGCAGGCGGAGAATGACTTGCTCTTCTCAGAGACAAGCAGCACAGCCGGTAAGAAGCAAACTGCTGCTGCTTAATTTGGTCACTAAAATGAGTATGAACATGTTATACCTGTGTATTTGTTGTGTTGAGGCACTTTTTCGAGAAGATCTCTCCTTGATCTACTGTGGCTTGGATTGGACGTCGCTTTGGACAAAAGTATCTGCCGAATGAGTGAATGTGTAAATGGACATGTGTTTTGTGTGTGTCGACACAGGAAATTCAGAGAACAAGCGTCTCCGGAAACCAACTAAAAGGCTCCTGGAGTCAACTGAGGAGTATGAACAAATATTTGCCCCAAAAAAGAAATCAAAGAAACACACCTCAGAATCTTCCAAAATGGTTAGTGACCTTACATTGCATCTGAAAGTACAAAGCAGTAACTGGTGTATTTATGAAGTATCTTTTATTCACTTGGTTCTTGAATGTTGAAAAACATGAATTATCCAAATCTGCTTTCAGCGTATTTTTCTCTGTAAACATTAATCTAACTAATCTCCTTGTACTTTCACAAGACTGAGTAAAATCAGTCATGTGTGAAGTAAGTTGTTCCGAAATATAGATTTTTTTTTTATTTTTTTTTTTATTTTATTTTTTTTTATATATATATAATTACACACCAAAAGAATCAAATAGACATATCGTTGGATCATTTACGGTGTTCTTGTTAGGTTATCAACATATCTTTATATAAACTTGATAGACTTTTACTCTCTGGAAAATGTAAAATATCATTTGAACTTAATGCTTAACTTGCATGTGTGTACGCAGCAGACATCAGGGATGATAGCACTCCATGATCTCAGCACCCCACCGGGAATAATTACCTCAGCCTCGTCTTCTGTTGAGCCCATCGAGGCTTCGGCAGAGCTGGAACAGAGTCCGTCTCAGGATGAACTTTCTCCTGTAGCATCCCCACTATCTCCAGCTACAACACAACCCTCCCTTTATGCAGAGACGGCAGAAGAAACTGATCTACCTCCTGAGTCTGGTAAATAAGTCTGAATATTATGTCTAATCCAGTATCGTTGTATGATGTTAAATGGTCTACTGTTGCTGGACAGAATATTTCAAATGTTTTGATTGATGAAATAACCATGTTTATCCCAGATATGTGATTCTTTTATGGAATAGATAATGCATTATTGGGTATTTTTTACTTTAGATACAGGGTTATTGGTCCAAGACAGAAAGAGGCCAAGGAAGCTGTCTCACAAGGTGCTGGAATGTACCATAGAAGAAGTGTCTGTTGCTCATACAAAGAAGAAGGTATGTCGGCAATTAGATGGCAGTAGGGGGGTGTTCCAACTATCACAGTTAGTGTTTTGGACGAGGAAATGTTGAATGATTTCACAATGTCTTTGTTTTCTAGGAGCCAAAGCGACAAGAAAACTTAGTCAAGAAAACTCAGGTACTACAAAAGCACAACTCAAAGCAATCACTATCCCAATATACCACCAGACAGTATACTTCTAGAACATGTATTTAACCATCCTAAACTACAAAGAAATCTCACTTTTGATAGGTTGGATCTGTGAAGAAAGAGAAGCCTGCACCCGGTGCATCCTCTGCTCCTTCTGCTGCCCCCGAGCAAGCAGAAAGCAAAGACCTCCCCGTGGTCCTCAATCAAAACCGGCCTCCCAGCCCTCAGGGATCTAAGATGCCCCAGCAGGAGGCCGAGGTGGAAGCCTGCAGCACTGAGGAGACGCAAAATGCACACACTGGAACACTAACTCCCAAACCTGAGGTGTGCACGTTGTATTGATCAGCTAATAAGACATTGGTCATCAATCAAAGAGGGAAATAATCTGCAGCCTTGCATCCATGAGTGTTAACAGGATCTCTTTCCTTGTCTCTCTAGGGGCTGCTGTCTGTTAGTTTGAATGACAGCCTCTCTTCTCAAGTGGATGTAAAAGGGAAAATAGGAGCTACATCCTTAAAGGAGAACGTCTGTCAGGTGAGATGATCTACCAGGAAGTAAATATCTTTTGCTTTGTATGGCTTTGCTCCTGGCACATCTTTTATTTCTTACAGGTATAGGCCATGAGCACGGTCCTAATTGTGCATTTGTGTGTATGTTTGTGCAGGTGTGTGAGAGGACAGGAGACCTGCTGGTGTGTGACGGCCACTGTTATGGAGCCTTTCACCCGCAGTGTATTGGCCTGTCAGTGGCTCCCAAGGGGAAATTCCTCTGTCGTGAATGCAACGCTGGTGGGTGCTCCTGGTGTCTGACAAAGGACTGAATCTGTCACTGATCACAACATGTGTGTCCTTAAACACTTAACAAAAATGTGACTTTATTTTTTTTCTGTTTCTTTCAGGTGTCCACACATGCTTCGTGTGTAAGAAGTCTGGTAATGGTGTAAAGCGCTGCATTATACCGTTGTGTGGGAAGTTCTACCACACTGACTGTATATTGGCGTACTCAGCCACCCAGCCTCATAACAAAGGCTTCCGCTGCCCTCTGCATGTGTGTCTGTCCTGCCACATCACCAACCCTCTCAACATCTGTAGCACTAAAGGTAAGTTCCCCTCTTGCCTGTGGATGTGATCCACATGATATGATAACTATGACTTGTTAGAAATGGTCCACAAAGATTTGTAACCATGTTGATTTCACAGCGTCGTAGATTACACACGATATTAGGGAAGAACTGGGGACAAAAGTCACTGTTCTGTTTCGTATGACAATGAAAATTGTGCTTTATGCCACTGAATCCACTTGGCAAAGATTACACAGAAGCCCTGACTACATTGGTACCTGCTTAGCATCAGTGCGTATGCACTAAGGGGCTAATAAGACATTCCTGAGCACCATCTGTAGTGTTGACTGTCCAGCAAAATAGATCCACTTGCTGCACATGATTTAGTCTCAGTAAACTTGTAACTATGGAGTGCTATAGGCATTGGTCGCTCAATTCAGTTGACTGAGAGCAGAGCTCCAGTTTAACGTCCAGATGTGCATGGATTCAGATGCCTTTGCTCCTCTGTATTTTTGTTGTAGGTCGGTTGGCTCGATGTCTTCGCTGCCCTGTGGCCTATCATGCCAATGACAACTGTATGGCAGCAGGCAGCCTGGTGCTAGCAAACAATAGCTTCCTCTGTCCCAACCACTTCACTCCCCGCAAGGGCTGCAAGAACCACGAACACATCAACGTCAGCTGGTGCTTTGTGTGCTCTGAAGGTAAGTCTGGTCTTGTTTCATGGTAATTTTAACCTGTCATCAAAACGGCTTTACTACTTTGATCATGAACACATTATAATATGCGTTGTGATGTGAAACTGTCTCATTTTTTCCAAACTGTTTCCATGTTTCAAATGTTAATAAAAAACACAAGTGATTGCTTTTGAAAATGCACTGTTCGTTCTTCTTCGGGACAACATAATGTGTTGTAAATTAATTTGTATGCCTCATCCTATCTGGCAGTTAAATGCTCCCTCTTGGCAAAGTGCTGCTTTTAAAGGAATATGTCTTTACATTACCACATGTTTTGAGTTTAACACCGTCGTTAATAATGAAAATTGGCACAGTCGCAGTTGAGTTAATTTGATTTCACTGTTTTATCTCCTTGTCTGACAATAGATAACACTTACTGGTTACGCCTCACAAATACAATTGCTTGATTTTTCCCTGTTTGTTTCATATTGTTGTAAATCAAAGGCCTTTGGGCTTTTAGAGTGTTTATTAAATAAAATAAGATGTGACAATATAACGATAATGGAAATAACCTAATCAGTGTGTTTTGCTGTGATTTTGTAGGGGGCAGCCTGCTGTGCTGTGAGTCCTGTCCTGCTGCTTTCCATCAGGAATGTTTGAATATAGAGATGCCACAGGGCAACTGGTTCTGCAATGACTGCAAATCTGGAAAGCGGTCTCGTATTAAGGACATACTGTGGGTCAAATGGGGGCGTTACAGGTAAGGTCACAACATTGCCTTCCCCACACACACACACACAGTGTCTCTAAGCAACAGTTAAGTGTATCCATGTTTATGCTTCTGAAACCTGATCTGAATCTTCAGGTGGTGGCCTGCAGAAGTCTGTCTGGCCAAAGATGTCCCAAACAACATCTTGAGGATGAAACATGAGGTGGGAGAGTTTCCAGTGCAGTTCTTTGGCTCCAAAGATTTTGTGTGGACGTACCAAGCCAGAGTCTTCCCCTACATGGAGGGTGACACTCACAACATCGAGAAAATGGGGAAGGGAGCAGATGCAGTGTACAAAAAGGGTGTGTGCTTGTGTCCAGTATTGTATTTTATATTAAATCTATGTTCCTGCTTTTGATAATAAGAAATTCTGTGATATTTTTCATATTTAGGTTGTGTTTTAATTGTTAAAGTACTTTCTGTCCTTAAAGCCCTGACGGACACAGCAGAGCGGTTCAGAGAGCTCCAGGCAGAAAGGGAGATGAAGCAGCTTCAGGAGGACAGAAAGAATGACAAGAAACCTCCCCCATACAAGCACATTAAGGTACTGTGTGCTCATTTGTACTTCTCTACCCTGACTAAAGAGCAGCTCACTGAGATATACGGTAAAAACATCACTCTCCTGTGTCTGTCTGTTAGGTCAACCGGCTAATTGGTAAGGTGCAGATCTTTACTGCCGACCTATCGGAGATCCCACGTTGCAACTGTAAGGCGTCTGACGAGAACCCGTGCGGCATCGACTCCGAGTGCATTAACCGCATGCTGATGTATGAGTGCCACCCTCAGGTGTGTGCGGCAGGGGAGCGGTGTCAGAACCAGGCCTTCACAAAGCGCCAGTACACACCTGTGGACATTTTCAGAACACTGTCCCGCGGCTGGGGTTTAGTTGGTTTGTCGGACATCAAGAAGGTATGTCGGAAGAAAATAACCAATGTGTGTGACCATGACACATTTAACTCGCTCCGTTATTAAGTAACTGTCTCGTTCTTTTTCTGTTGCTTCTCAGGGAGCCTTCGTGAGTGAATATGTGGGAGAGGTGATTGATGAAGAAGAATGCCGAGCCAGGATCCGACACGCCCAGGAGAACGACATCTGTAACTTCTACATGCTTACACTGGACAAGGTGATTCTGAGCCCATTGATCACAAACACAGCACTCTGTACAGGATACTGCTCAGCAACACCCCCGATGCATAGCGTAGATCTGATGCTTTGAGCTAACCGGTTTGTATTTTGTTATTCAAGGACCGGATCATTGATGCCGGGCCCAAAGGGAACCAGGCTCGCTTCATGAACCACTGCTGCCAGCCAAACTGTGAGACTCAGAAGTGGACTGTGAATGGGGACACCAGGGTGGGGCTGTTTGCTCTACAAGACATCCCACAAGGTTTGAGTGACGGCTTACTTCTCACTTTGGTGTTTTGCATTTTGTAGGATTAAGAATGCAGATTATGTCATTAATATACAATCTACGCATCCGAGCGCAGCATAGATCTAAGACAATGTGTACTTTAGGTGTGGAGCTGAATTTCAACTACAACCTGGAGTGTCTTGGCAATGGCAAAACTGCTTGTAAATGTGGAGCACCCAACTGCAGTGGTTTCCTGGGGGTCAGGCCAAAGGTAAAAGCTTTAAAAACAAAACAACAACAAAAACACCATCCCGTCCTAAATGTACAACTTCAAAGAAGAGCTGCCTTGTAACGTCTCTATTTGTTGATCAGAACCAGCCGTCAGCTGAGAAACTGAAGGATGGTAAGAGGAAGGTCCCCATGAAGAAGAAGACCAAGCAAGAAGTGACCAAGGAGAGGGAGGACGAGTGCTTCAGCTGTGGAGACGGGGGCCAGATAGTGTCCTGTAAGAAGCCGGGTTGCCCGAAGGTCTATCACGCTGACTGTCTCAACCTGGCCAAGAGGCCTGCAGGCAAGTAGAGGTGGAGGGACTGTTTCTATAAGGAGCCCATTTTATTCTCTTATAGTGACACTATAAAGTCTACATTATTGAGTTGCCAGATTAAATTTGACTAAATTCTGTGAAATGTCAAATTAGGAAAAAAAAAATAAAAATTCTTTGTTTAGAAACAAATATAATAAAGGAGTTTGTCAGATTTTGGTGATGGTAATATGGACACATTTGGATGTCAGCGTGGGGCTGAATTTGGATAAAAGTGGACTAATTTTTTTAGTGACTGTTTTATTCTGGATGATGACAGATAGACCAGATAACATGCTGATTCTGGAGACGTGCATTTTCAAACTTGCATCTGGTTGAGTGTCTACCTTTTGATTTTCATGGTGTCATTATCCAAATGGAGGTTATGATCATACCTCTGTGAGCTTTATAAGACAGCTGCTGTTATGCCAAATAACGTGATTTATTACATTTTATCGCTTTGGTTAATATCTTACTATTGGCATCTTCAGCCTTTAAAAAAAGAAATCTATTTTCCTAACTTGGTAATGACAGTGATCTTGTCTCCAGGGCGGTGGGAGTGTCCATGGCACCAGTGTGACGTCTGTGGTAAAGAGGCAGCTTCGTTCTGTGAGATGTGTCCCAGCTCTTACTGTAAGGAGCATCGTGAAGCCATGCTCTTCATCTCCAAACTGGACGGCAAGCTGTCCTGCAGTGAACACGACCCCTGTGGACCTGACCCACTGGAGCCTGGGGAGATCCGTGAATATGTGCCCAACATGACCTCCATGAGGCCGGGGGCCGTGGCTGTGCCTGCCTCTTTCTCGCTGGGCCCAGACTCCACAGGAGCCAGTTCCGCCCCCATCACTTCCCCTGCCGGCCAGGCTGCGTCGGCCGGGCCGGGGCCTCCTCCTCGTCTCTATATCAACACAAAGACGGCTACCTCGAGCTTCATCCCCTCCAACAGGTCTTACCGCACAGACAGGACTGAAGGGAAAGGGTTTTCCACTCCCACCTCCTCCAAGGACGAAAGAGAGGACGGGGAGGTGGAGGACGGGGAGGTGTGCGGGTTAGAGATGGAGGACTTTGAAGATGACGATGAAGACGCAGAGGACGAAGAGGATGACATGGAGGAGATGGAGATAGTGGAAGATGAGGAGGAGGATGAGCCGCAGTATGGGGATGATCTGCCGGAGGAAGGCGATGACGAAGAGGAGGACGAAGGAGGGGATGTGTATGACACTTGGAGTGATTATGTGGATGAAGATGCTGATGATGGAGAGGTGGAGGGGGAGGAGTGGGGGAGGGTGGAGGACGATGACAAGTGACTTAGTCCACCTGTCCCTTCATGACAACTCAGCAAAAACTCTCAACTGACAGTCGTAGGACAAAAAAAGTTTGGAAAAGACAGAGAGTTTGATATTTTGGTACCTACTTGAACGCAACACTGCCTTCACCTCGGTACCGCGTTGCCTTCTTGTCCCCAGACTGCTGGACTGACAGTGGGGACATGTACTGGTGCTAAGTCTCAAGAACTGACTCAGTCCGTCTCTTTATACTTATGTTCATATGTTTGTGTCTGGTGCTGTTATGTTCTTTTGTTTGTTCTTTCAACATTGTTTACATTTTTTGGCCTTTTTTAATGTTTGGAATATAAGAAAAAGGTGAGAAGTTTCACCTGACCAAACTGTCATCATAAGGTCATCTTATGTTGCTGTTACTGTCTTAACCTTGTAATTTTAATTACGAGAGTGATCAAAATAGAGGTCTCACTGGTCCATGTTAGAGTTCGGCACAGCAATGCCTGCTTGGTGCTTCTGAGGAATGCAAAAATAAACCCACTGGAGTCTTTAAGACTTTAGATGATTCTTCTCACTACAAAAACGGCTTGTTCATTCTGTGTTTTACTGTCTCTATCAACAGTTGGGTCAGATATCGGAGAAATAGAGTAACGTCATGACATCCTACAACTTCTAAATCAATCAAAGATATAACTTAACACTTGTTTTGCATCCGTCACTTCTGTCCCATTCACTAAGTTTGAAAATCAAAGTACATATTCACTCGGTATCCGGTATTTTGTTCACTTCTAGTCCCATCTGGCAAAACAAATCTTGTCTCAAATAGTCAAATCAATATATCACAACACTGGATTTATGTTTGCTACTGCAATCTCACAGTTTACATGTTTGATAGATAAGCAAGCACAATCAGCAGTCGGCCTATAGGGAGTTAAAAAACTGCAAGTTTTTACTTCTAAATTGACTCTACAAATTTTCTACAAGGGCTTGAATTTTCACATTAAGTCTGGCTAACTATTGATAACTGTGACTTCAAGTTAGGCGTCAAACTACAATATACTTTCTTCCGATCACACGCACATCACGGTTTATCATCATAAACCTTGCATCATACAGAATTCAAAGAAAGATGCACCAAGTCTGGGGAGACGGTTAATGAAGGGAATAAAGATGATAATAAGCCACTATTGATAAGCAGCAGTTATTTATGTTGACTGTATTTTCTTTTTATCAGTCATGATCAGAGTAAGCTCTATAGGGGCCCCAGGAAAATTGAGCTGCTGGGCCCCTATTAACCCTTTACTCCTCACACTGTCTGCTAAGTGTTCACGTTTTCTGTGCTATAATACTTCTTGGCCTCATTTACTGTGCGAGAATTTGATTACATACATTGATTTGGGAAATTACAAAACAGGTGCAGACACTGTAAATGAAAATGTCATAAAACAAATACAAGGATCCACTTCAGGGTCCTTATATATCAGTTGATCCTGGTTTTGGTGAAGCATATTCCCAACGTAATTTACAGACCAGTAGACACACAGGAAGCCTGGGATAGTTGTGCACTTTGCACTGTTGGTAATCCAGCAGGGCAAACAGTGTGCTCGTGTCCCCAATTTACTGGTGTAAATGAGCATCATTTAACTCTCAGAAGTGTGGCGAACAAATACAATAACATCTGCGTTGTACCGCACAGAAAGGAAATGTACTGATTAGATTACACAAGCATGTAAACAACAGTTTCCGTGACAGCAGCCGTGTCCACTTGACGTCGGTCTCTCCAGCAGTTGCTGTTGTATCTTGGTGATTTAAACACCACCGAAGAAGACGACGACGTGACGTAGCTGCAGTTGCTGTAAAATGGCGTCGATCGTGTGTTAGCACCAAAACATAACGAGTTCAAACACAGAGCAGCGTACGGAGGAAACTACCGTTTATTTACGGAGTAATATCGACCACTGTGTCCTTTGTTGGATCCTAACAAGGTAACAAAGTTACTAGCGTTTGTTAAATCGACTCATAACAGACTAAATACTTCACGTTTAAGTCACTCAGCTGGTAAACAGCTAACGTTAGGCTAGCTGACGTTAGCTTCTGTAACTTGTATGAAGGTGATTGTGGATGAAATGTACTCGCTGCTGTATGGGGTTGAATTCAGGACAGACATGTTTCTATTTAACACTTAACGCAGATGGAAGCCATGACGGAGGAGCAGCCTAACGTGAGCGCGGAGGGCATCGTGGGCCTGGATGAGCCCAAGAAGATGACCAGGGAGGACTGGAGGAAGAAGAAGGAGCTCGAGGAGCAGAGGAAGCTGGGAAACGCTCCGGCTGAGGTGGACGAGGAGGGGAAGTAAGTTCATGTCTGCACCGAGAGGCTGCAACGTGTTTATATCTGGATATTAAAGTCTATTATTCTTGAAAATTGTTCTATATTTTCAATGCACAATGTTTTTGACCCTCACACAACCAACTCTAGTGAACGCTCACATGAGCCTGGTTTGTAACACAGGCCAGGACACACCCACTGTTATTTTATTGTGACCCACTTGTGCTGCTTCCATTGTCTTCCAGGGACATAAACCCTCACATCCCGCAGTATATTTCATCAGTGCCATGGTACATCGACCCGTCCAAAAGGCCCACACTAAAGCATCAGAGACCACAGGATGAAGAAGAGGCTTATTACTCAACTGTTGGAGAGTGGTACAAGAGAGGAGTGCAAGAGGTGAGGGTGAATCAATGAGTTACTTTCGTGGAGTCATTACAAATGCACTTTAAAGTTAAAAGCGCTTTCTTTCGCCAAATAGTCTGCTGTCAGCACTAAGTTTCGTAAGGGAGCTTGTGAAAACTGTGGAGCCATAACACACAAGAAGAAGGACTGCTTGGAGGTAAAATGGATAACTCATCTTGCAGTAGAGAAGAACTTTCCCTCATTTCTAATCCTGTGGATTAAAAGAATGTTATATCTGGCATAGTTCAAGTTAACCTGATCTTCACCTTTTGTCTCATCAGCGACCCAGAAGAGTTGGGGCGAGGTTCACGGGTAACGGCATAGCTCCAGATGAACACAGTCAGGTGCTGCTGGACTTGGACTATGATGGGAAGCGAGATCGCTGGAATGGGTATGACCCTGAGGATCACCACCGCATCGTGGAAGAATACGCCAAAGTAGATGTGGTAAGCAGTGGTGAATTAAGCTTGGTTTAATTCTGGAGTGTTTGTTTGGTTTGTTGAGACAAAGGAAAACAAACTTTGGTGGCATTGTATAATCTCTGCCAGTATGAAAAAAAGTCATTCTAGCGGTGTCGTCTACTTTCCCTTCACCACATGAATCAGACTTTGTATTTATTTCTGCCTCTCAGGCCAAAAGGACATTGAAAGCGCAGAAGCTTCAGGATGAGTTGGCCTCTGGAAAACTGGATCAAGTAAGTATCCAAGTAGTAAGTTTTGTCAAGATTGTAATAAATATGAATTTCATTGTTGTCTAATTTAAGAGATCAAATTTAGCCTCTTGTCTAGAAGACTTTTTAATTCTTTGAGTCATTTCTCTGCAGGAGCGGGAACACGACAGTGAGGACGAGGATGAAGATAAATACGCAGATGACATCGACATGCCGGGTCAGAACTTTGACTCCAAGAGACGAATCACTGTTAGGAATCTGCGTATCAGAGAAGACACAGCTAAAGTAAGACACTCATCTGGAAACACGGTTCAGTTGCATAATGCTGAACTACTATTTCACTCTTAAGCTGTCTCACTGAGACGTTACTTTGACTGTTTGGTTGCCTCTAAGGTTCACTGTGAGAGGTGAGCTACTGTTACTAACTCGGAGACGCCCAATCATCTGAATTTCTCATGTCTGTTTCTCACAGTACCTGAGGAATTTGGATCCAAATTCAGCATATTATGATCCAAAGACTCGAGCTATGAGAGAGAACCCGTACTCCAACACTGGCATGAACCCCGACGAGTAAGTTGTTGTATTTCCTGATCGCTCAAACATTCTCATTGGCTTACACTGAAATGATTGTGTAAACTCTTTTGTCGGACAGGGTCGGGTATGCTGGAGACAATTTCGCTCGCTATAGCGGGGCCACCATCAACATGGCTCAAACACAGTGTAAGTCACCGAGATATCTTCTAGCTCTCATCAGCCCATCACCACCTCCATTCTCAGTTTCATAATTTCCTGATATTGCAAAATCCATAAATAAGATGAGACACCAACGGCAGGATTGTTCACAGTTTTGTCGTAAATAAATTCTTAGCTTTCACACACCAGATAGACCACACACACATATCTTACATTCCCTCTCAAACAGGTTCTGTATCTTGTAAATAATCGCCGATGCTTCACCTTGTGACAGTGTTTGCCTGGGAGGCCTACGAGAGAGGCTCTGAGGTGCATCTGCAAGCCGACCCCACCAAGCTGGAGCTGCTCCATCGGTCCTTCAAAGTCAAGAAGGAGGACTTTAAAGAGAAACAGAGGGACGGCATTCTGGAGAAGGTGAACAGCTGAGCATGTAAATGTGCACCATGTTGGAACGAGTAATGGGACATTGTAATTCTTTGTGTCGATGAAGTGGTTTTCTTCTGAAATGTGAACCAACTACCAAGTAAATAAATACCTTCAGGCCTTAAATCAGGCTACAGTATTGCTCCCAAAGAGCTGTGTAGGGGCTTAGGTATTCATTCTGGCTGAAGACTTCACAGATGTTTGTGCCTTTTGTGTGTGTGACGATCAGTATGGAGGTGAAGAGCACTTGGATGCTCCGCCGCGGGAGTTGCTCTTGGCCCAGACGGAGGACTACGTGGAGTACTCTCGTCACGGTGCTGTGCTGAAGGGACTCGAGAAGGCCGTGGCTCGCTCCAAGTATGAGGAGGACGTGCTCCTCAATAACCACTCTGTAAGGACGGCAGAACGCACTGTTGGGAAACGTATCTTGCTATATTTTTGTCACATTTCGTTTGTTTGTATTCTAAAACAAATCTGTTGTGTTTAGTGTATTTGGGGCTCCTTCTGGACGGATGGCTACTGGGGATACAAGTGCTGTCACTCCATGGTCAAACAGAGTTACTGCACGGGAGAGAGTGGAATCGGAATAGTAAGTAGATACATTACAAGTGTTCAAAGGGCTGGTTTTATACACAGGCTCTGTTTTGTTACTTACATTCTGTTTTTGTTGTCTTCGTCACCTGAAGAGCAACTCGGAGTGTGTTCCATTTGAAGAGGGACTGATGGAGCTGCAGGAGGAAGAAGAGCCCAAGACTCTGCTGGAAGTAAGTGACGCCGGAGAGTTAAGATTGTCACAGTTGCCGTTAATGTTCACGTGGGTTTCTTTGTCAGTTTAAATGTAGGTTGTCAAATGTAGAATGTTAATTGTGTCAATGTTCTTAATCCCCAGATGCATCGAGATAAGATGATGAAAGAGAAGAAGAAGAAAAAGAAGAACAAGAAGAACAAGAAGCACGACTCTGACAGCAGCGACTCGGAGGATGAAGAGAAGAAGAAGGAGAAGCTGAAGAAGGTAGTTATTTGTGTTTTTAGATGGCAGAAGGTGGTTCTGTGATCAACTGTCCGTATCGCTGGTTTAACTGGTTTCTGTGTGACTGACCTCCAACCGGTTTCCTCCTCCCAGGCACTCGAAGCAGAGGACAAGCGGGTGAAGCAAATAGATGCAATAATGCAGGTGGAAGAGAGAAAGAGGCCGTACAACAGCTTAGGGGAAGTAAAGGCACCCACCGAGGAGGAGATGGAGGCCTTCCGCATGAAACGCTGCCGGGCAGACGATCCCATGGCTTCCTTCCTGGGACAGTGACCTGCTGACCCCCCCTAAAGTCTCCTCAAGGACTCTTACCAGAGCTGCTGCTCGGTGAAAAAAAACATGTCTCAGACTCGGAAAACTCGTCTTGTGAACTTACAGCAGGAGGCTTCTGTTTGGTTACCAGCGTTTTGTTCATTTCAATTTGATCACTTATTGTTTTTGATGCCACAGGCCGATAGATTATAGGTCAATGATGATCTATGCTTTTGTTTGTACTTAAACAGGTTGAAACATGGGAGCCTCCCTCGGTCTCAATGTAATTACTTTTAGGTGGAATAATGCATTGTTTTTATAATAAAATATACAGTTTATGTATATATATTTTTTATTGGTCTGGATAGTTTGTCTTGTCTTATGCACATTGATAAAGAGAATTCTCAAGCTATACGGTGTACTGCTCATCTCTTCAGTGGTTATTATGGATCAATAGGAAAGTATTATATGACAAAGTAACTGAAATGGGATAATGTAATCATATTTTTCTTATAAGTTCTCTCTTGCTGTGACTTGTGAGGATCAAAGTGTGCATTTGGTGCTTTTGACATTGCTTCATAAATGGCAGTTAACTGTTACTGGCTTATAATATTGAATACTTTTTTTCTCCACTGTCACACAATTTAAATATCATTCCAACTCCTATTCATTCTTTAACAAGTCTACATTACAGTAATACATGTTCAGGTTGATTATAAGCTGATTTTGGTGATCACACCTGTTTGTTGTTGCTAATAGGGTCTCATTGAAACCTGCAACACATAACCTGTTATACAATTTCAGTTCACATGGTTCCAGTTAAAGGCGACTGCAGCAGATCTCTGAACACAAGGCACTGCTTCACACAGCAGCTGGAATGTTTCACTGGTCTCTTGGTTCTGCAGCACAGCAACAAACTCATCTGGTAATATTCAACAGGCATGTTATACAAAACCTAGATGTCTGCGCTCTACATTTTATCACGTCTGTTGTACAACGCACTGTTTTGCCACAGTTTGAGTTTGTGAACAACCGATGCGTGACCACTACGGCTGCACTGACTCCAGTTTAAGATGACATCATGGTAAAAGTATTTGTTGGCAGTGTAGGCCTACTTGCTAAACAGGGCGGACGTTATGGACCGTGATTCACTGGGCTACACATTTCTCTGCTGCTCTTCTCTCTCAAAGAATGCTATCTCACTCGATTATTGTAAAGTCATGTTTGTGCACTCTGATGCAGAGAAAGGACTTGGATAGAGCTGATTAATGCCTGTGGGTCATAACTTCTCAACGGGTGAGTTCTTTCTCTGTGTTTTTGAAATGTCCGATACAATCCCTTTGCAAAAACATGCAGTAAGCAGCATTCTTTTGATTTAACTTGTGTATAATAAATATATAAATAACATATATAGATCTCATATTTGTTATTAAGCACCGAGTCGTGGCATTAAACTGACTGCACCATTAAGACAGTAACGGTTTCTTCATGTGATACTAGCTGTAGATAGCATGCATGTACTCTGCCACCTCCTTTATTTCAGTCTTTTGGGGCAGATTTTATGTATTTGTCATCTGATTGCGACTAACTCACAAAACAAAAACACATTTATTGCTGTAAACTTTGACTTTCCCTCGTCTTCTCGTGGCTCCACAGTGACCATCATGCTGCAGATGTTGGTAATGTTGTGTTTGCTGTCAGTTGTCCTCTCCCAAACCACATATTCCTCGTCCAAGAGAGGACGCAACATCACTGTCCACTCCTCCCAGCTGGTCTGCAGTCTGCCAGGCCCAACTGGACCTGCCGGAAACCCCGGAGCCCCTGGATCACCAGGGCCCATGGGCCCCATGGGGCTCCCAGGGAAGGATGGCCCGGACGGGAAGGATGGCGAGAGGGGAGGAAATGGAAATGGAGGTAGTTATCGATCGACTCTCTTCTATTGTAATGCCAACCCCAATGTTCAACAGCTCAAACAACATCCTTCACATTGTCTTATGAATGTGATACTTTATGTCTTTTCATAGTTTTATTGAGAATTGCTTTGAACTGATGACATGTTTTAGAAGTCTGCTACAGAGACACATTAACTCTGTTTGGGCTTTGAGAGACACCAGCTGTATCACATGATTAAACACAATTCATTTCCATTATGCTCTACATCTATGACTGGTGTTCACAGCCGTTCTTCAACATCTGGATTTCTGTTATTGGAGTTTTAGAACCGTTTGTTAACAGGACGTCAAGTGCTCGACCTCTCTGGTGACCCCAAATATAAATAACGTCACAATGAAGGATAACATACTAGTACAGCCATTGTTCCCACTAATAAATATGTCTCAAGACTTTTGGTTCTCAATAACAAATGTGAACTCTGTAAAAACAACTTACCATCTATTTTATGAATGTCAGTACACTTTAGGATTCTGGAAAAATAATTGAGGAGTCTTTTGTCACTCAAACCTCTTTGAGTGACAGTTAAGTTGGAAGCCATGGATGTAATAATATACTATGAAAACTTAAACCAGAAATTTCAGCGGCCTGTCAATTTATTCAATTTATTGGGGAAATTTCACACACATAAAGCCGAGTTCTCGCCTATCTTTTGAACCCTTCAAGATTTAATTTTTACGGTACTATGAGTCTATCCAAATTATGGAAAAATAAGAAATATATTCATATGATGTGTCACCTACATTGTCTTTAAAGTTTGTGTTTATATAATTTATATTATTGTACTATTATTATAAGTATTGTTATTATTTAAAGCTTTATAACCATATGTCCTGATACAATGATGTGAATGTATAGCATGGAGTAGTTTTGTTTTGGTAACTGTATCAGTTTGACGCCTCATGTTCTCTTATCTATCACACATTGTAAATGATGATTATTACAATGGAGACAGTTTTAATGTGCAGGTTCCTTTTGGGCACATAATAAACTGTGAGATACACAATCAGATTAGGGAGCTCTTTCTAGGCTCTTCACAGCTTTGTCTTGAATATGTTATTGTGCTAAACTGTAAAATTACAAGCATTCTGTCATCATTTTGCCAGGTGATCCAGGGAGGACAGGGAACCCAGGTAAGCCAGGTGTGAAGGGGCGCGAAGGTGTCCTCGGCAAGGCTGGACCTCGAGGACTGAAGGGCCTACGAGGGACACCTGGGAAGGCTGGAAAACGAGGACATAAAGGAGAACTGGGTGACGTTGGCCAGCAAGGAGCTCCAGGGGGATGTAACTGTGGCAGCGCGGCCCGATCGGCCTTCTCTGTGGCGGTCACAAAGAGCTACCCTAAAGAGCGACTGCCCATCCGCTTCAGCCGGATCCTGCTGAACGAGGGGGATCACTACAACACCACAAGTGGGAAGTTCGTCTGTGTCGTCCCCGGGGTCTACTATTTCACATATGATATCACTCTGGCTAACAAACACCTGGCCATCGGGCTGGTCCACAACGGGCAGTACAAGATCAAGACCTTCGATGCGAACACAGGGAACCATGACGTGGCGTCTGGTTCTACTGTTCTCCACCTGCAGCAGTCCGACCAGGTCTGGCTGCAGATCTTCTACTCCGAGCAGAACGGACTCTTCTTTGACCCTTTCTGGACAGACAGCACCTTCACCGGCTTCCTTATCTATGCGGACCAGGACTATCTCAACGAGGCTGAGAGGAAAGCGAATGCTCGGGATGATGGTTAATCCTGAGATCATTTCATTGTGTTGTGAATCCAAAATCTGACACCAGGGGGCACACAAGGAAAGAAAAGTCAGCCACAGTTGGGGGACCCTTTTAATTGTTTAACATTGAAAAGCCCTGTGTTTTATCTGTATTATCGTTCATTTGCTGACAAAAAATTTTTTGGATACGTCATTATAATAATAATTATCATCATTCCTCTGTTTTTTATTTATCTTACATGAGCTCCAAGGTTGTCACGTTATTAGTATTAGAGTGAAACGCACATACACCATTCTGCACAGTTAAAGTCAAACATCCAACAATAAGCAAAACACATATTTGAGTGGAGGAGGACTTTAAGTTAGCCATCCCATCAGACAGATCAAATATTTCTCATTTTATTGGATATTAATGCTGGGTTTAGAAGCATTGCATGACATGGATAACAAGTAATTAAAAGAATACATTGAATCATATGATAATAATAATTTATAATTTCAACCTCAGCCTGTCCACAGGATTAAGTAGTCACAGATAGCATGTATTTGGGATTACGTAATCAGATTACAACAATTTGTAGCTCATCAACAGATTACATTTGAAAAAAAGTGTAAGATTATAGTTACATTGTCAAGGAATTCTTGATGACATTTTTGTAAGGGTAACTTGATTTGACCAAGAAAAAGATGTAAAGATGTTTTTCTAATGATAAAGATGTTTTTCTACTCTAACTCAAAGTAGGATGATTAATGTGTTTTGTTTTTCCTTTTAATATATATTGAAGATGATGAGCATTTTGAGTATGTGCTCCTCTTGTGATAAGAGCAAAGTCCTCCATGTAGACTACAAATAATGCACCTGTAGTTTGTGGCAAAAAAAAGAAAAAATACAATATTTTGTGGAACTCTTTTTTTTTTTTTTACTTTAAGCTGCAAAAGTAATCCTAATTACAAAAAAATGTCATGTAATTTGCATTCAGTAACTCACTACATTTTAAAGTAATCTGACTCAACCCTGCCTGTCCAAAAAATGTAAAAAGAGCATTGGTCTACTTTTTCAAGGTAAACGGTGGTAAACTATTTATACAGGAGCTTGCTTCTAATTAAAAGTGTGTTAGATAGATAGATAGATAGTTACTTTATTAATCCCGCAAGGGGACATTTTTTCGCTACAGCAGCAATTATGGCAGGTAAATAAAATAACAGAGTAAAAATATTAAATATCAAATGCACAATATATACAATAAGAATAACAGAGTAAAAATATTAGCTATATACAATGAAATAGAATAATAAATCAACTAACTAATCAGCAGTGCAAAGATTTAACCAAACAAAACAGAGTTATGGTGTTATAAATAAACTAATTATTAAGTGATTCGATCAATAATAATAAAGATAAAATAAAACAATAATGAAATGAAGAAAATAAAATAATGTTCACAAAAAAATCAAATTAAACGGTTTTGTGAACACGTGAGAGCTTGTAGTTCTGACACTGACCTCTAGACTAAAGGACTACAACTCCCAGGCTGGAGGAGGGCCCTCTTCACGTCGCACGAGCCTCGAACCGCAACAGCAGCAGCTGGTGCAGCCGAGACGAACGTTACTTTGTTACAGCGAAGCTACCGGGGAGGAAAAGCGGTGTAGCGAAAACCTCTCGGAAAAGTGCTCACAGTTTTGGGGGAAAAACGGCGCAACGGAACGCCGGTTGCCGCGATTCGTCGGCGGCAGCTATTTAATGAACTTGTCAGCGGATCTGAACGTTGTCGTTTGTTGTCTTTCTCAAAGTTGAGCCGAAAAGGAGTTCTCTGGTCCAGGATGTCGGACTGAGACAAAGGGGTCTGGGGGGCATTCCCGTCGGAGCGGTGAGTGGCACGTGTACGAACCAGCGAGGGTGAAAAGTTTACCAGGTTACTGAAATCATCCGTGTCCGAGAGGACGTGTGTAGTTTAATCGCAGCGTGTTGTTTTTGTTTTCGAGTGTTTGTTCGCTCGACGGGCATTAACTTGTGTCGCCTCACTGTGTTTGGCCGCTGTCTCGTGGTGCCGACGCGGTTTGAATGATAAGCAAAGTGAGAGATTCGTGAGTTATTTGTTTTTGTCGGAAGCGAACAACCGTGCGTGGAGACGGCATTTAGTGAAATGCTGCCGTGAGTTCCGTGGACCTACAGCGTGGTCGAGCGGGCATTTAACTGAGCCGTTTAAATACCCGAGCAGAGAAAATGGCCTATGCAGGAAAAGAGAGCTGTGTTAGCCAGGTGAGCCACAACTTTATCAAAACGAGCCGGTCCCTCAACGCGTTTCAGTCGCCTGGTTTTAGTGCGAAAACAAACACGTGATTTAAATAATATACTGCATTTAATGTAGAGTAACTTCACGCTCTTGTAGGATAGTTTTCTCAGTACATATGAACTAGTTTCGAGTTATTCTCTAAAGTGTTTGAACTGTGTTGTAATTGTCTCAGCAGGTACAACTTGATTCTTGAAGTGTCCTCTGGATGGGAAAGATGGAGAGGGAGCTGCAATGGTGGAAAGGACAGCTAGCGGCCGACATCCATCAGTCGCTCCGCATCAAGGTGAGCTATTAATGAACACAGCTCTGTGTTCATGTGTTGTGTTCTTCACAGTGTGAGCTGAACCGGTTTTGTTTGTGACTTTTCAACAATTAACATACATTTACATTGAAGATCATAACATCTCTATCTTTTCTATTCGTCAATCAAAAGAAAATTAATCCGCAACAATTTTTATTTGACATATTCTATTTTTAACTACATATTTTGCTCAAAAAAGATTTTTTTTTCAAAATAAATAATCATTTTTTTCTATTTTCTGACCTTTTTATGGGATGAAATGATTAATTGAGATAATTAACTGGCAACTTTATCGGTAATGATACTTATTTGCAGACTGAACCAACCTGTGTTGGTATTCCACAGCCTCATTTTAGCATGTTATACACCTCACAATGTACTGGAAGGTTGGAAGAAAATATAATCACACGGTCCTGTTGTATATTTAAACATGATCTAAATTAGATTACATGGAGGATTTAAGGCTCATTAGGTGGAAATCGCTTAATTAACCTCGAAGCGTGATCATATTTCTTCCCATGTGCCACTTTAATGGAGACATCTGTCACTCGACTGGCATCTTTGGGCCGGGACTCTGCTGCCAGCTTCACGTTTAGGGAGATGAATGCAGATCGGGTTTTAGATATCGGATGCCTGAACGCACCACAGATTATGTTCACGTACGTGAGTGAGAGCTGCAGTGTGTCAGACTGGGCCCTATATACAGTATATGATTCAATCTTTTACTCGCAGTTTATTCGTGCTGGACAGTCTGAGTCAGAGCGAGACATCAATCAGACTGAGAATCTGCACACAGAGCTGGAAACTAAACAACACACCCACTCTTGTCTCACACACTGTAATGAGGGAGAGATAGTCGCTCTAATGTTAGGTCTGATTGCCTCTCTATCGGCATTTAGTGTACCACAGTATATACATGCAATGCTCTCATTTTCAATCCTGCGGAGTTACATGTGAGGAATTGAGAAATGCTTGAGACTCTTAAAAGATTAGTCGATTGCTCTGTTTTGGCGCCTGTAGCAAACAACATGCTGTACGTTTGTGTCCGTGTTTTAACTCAGACGTTCTGTCAGACCGTTTAAGAACAAAGGTCTTTTCTAGCGTCTCAATATCTTTTGATTGTGTAACTCACGATCGGGGCTGCTGCTAACCGTTAATTCATTATCAATCAATCTGCTTGGTTAATTGTTGGAGCTCTACTCGCGATACATACAAGATATGTCGAGATACGTTTCATGCCTCAGTGAAATAAGGGCTATGAAAACTATGAGCGTACATTTATTTCTCATCATAACAGCAGCTTGTCCTGCTACTGAACACTGAAGTAAACATGTCCTAACATTAGCGTGTTCCTGCTCCTTAAATGAGGAGTTATTGTTACGTCTGCGTGTTGGCCTGCAACTAATTATTTTCATTACCGATTATTTTCTGGATAAATCAACTTATGATTTGGTCAAACAAATATAAATAAATTAACAATTCTTCTCAAAAACATTCAACTGATTAATTGAAAATTGACCAGATTGCTTTACATTTGAATACAAATGCTTGATAGGTTTCACGAGCTTGTGATGGCTGGCTGTTTTCACATGTGTGTGTGTCAGCTGAAAGCAGTCACATTTGCAGTGAGTATCAGAGCCGTGTGTTAAAAGGCCCTCACACAGTGTTCAGTTTTCCTGCATGGCGCCTGCTCCCCCACAGCCTCATCCAGCCTTAATGACGTTTGCTGCAGTGGTAATGCCCTGATGTGGGAGATAGCTGTGGTGTGTAGCATGTGGCAAATTATCAGACATGCAAATCAGGCCGAGGCAGCTGTGGAATCCTTAATTATGGTGTGGGTCCCCCCACAAAGGCACCTTCTCCACCCCGCACAGACCCCCACCGGAGCCCCTCCAGACTCCAGCAGGCCCCCACCCCCCATTCTCCTGCTGCCCTTGTACCTCCAGACAGACAGATGGACCAGAGGCTGAAGCGGTGGGAGGAGAGGAGAGTTTGGGGAGGATTGGGCGGTATGGTTGGTTGTGGTACCGGGGGGGGGAAGTGGCTATATATGGTTTTGGGAGGGGGAACTCTTTATTTTTAGACTCCATTGATGTGTCAGTAGTCGTTGTTTTAGTTCAGCTCAAAATAAATTGTTGGCATTTTGCGAGAGCCCTGACAGCGTGGCTCCCTCACAGTGAACGGTATTATTTCAAGGACTGACTGTAGCGTGTGTTTCTTTTGAAATGTGAAGCTGTAAAGCCACATTGGGACTGTTTGAGCCACCCTCAAGTCAGGAATGTTGCTGAACAACATGATGGGGATGTTTTCTGTTTACCTCCTCTCATGCGAGGACCCCTCGTTGTTTGAATTCAAGAAGATTAATCTACCGATCCTAAATCTCTTATTAAATCCAAATCAAAAGCCCTTGTTTTTATTCAGATTCACAGAGAGAGAGAAAAAAAATAAGAAAACAAAAACGATTTCCTATAAGCCGCTTACAGACATAGAAAGTATGCGCGGTGAATTTGTACATCCAGCACTAAATGTTTGTTTGTTTGTTTGTTTTCTGAGGCCGATTGTGAAGCCTGTTTTCTGTTGCTGATTGTAAAGATACCTGAGGCTGATTGAATGCTAATGCCCCCGAGTATCCGTCGTCCACTTTGAAACACATGCAGCTAATTGAACATGAATAGGAGATGTGCTAGAGGTGAAACCTAATCCTATCTACTACTCAACCTCTACTGGAAGTACCGTGCCTCCCTCCCCCACAACCACACACACGCATATGACCAACCTCCATTACTCTGAGACCCCTGCAATGACCCAAATTAGCTCCTCTTCTCTGCAGCGATGGTGAATTAAATGAAATTGAAATGAGGCTGAATCATAATCAAGAGTATCTGATGGTAAACGGAGTTTATTCTTCGAGTATTTTAGACACAGCATCTCTCCTGACAGCAGTTAAACCCAGTCAGCAGGGGACATGCATGGCTCACTATTATGCATATATTTCTTTTACAACCCCTGTGTCCCCCCCCTGTTATTTGGGTCCCCCTTCATTCCTTCTCTCTTCTTCTCCCCCTCCAGGAGCTGAAGCTACCGGCCTACCGAGCCCACTCTCCACAGATTGGCATGCGGCGGTACTTTGCTGACTTGTTGGCCATCCTGAGCAATCGCTACCAGCTGTGTCCCACAGCGCGTCACCTGGCCGTCTACCTGCTGGACTTGTTCATGGACCACTACGACGTGGCCGTCAAGCAGCTCTATGTCATCGCCCTCTCGTGTCTGCTCCTAGCCAGTAAGTCCATTATCATCCCTTATATCCATCCACATAGTGTTGAGTTTGACAAGATGGAAAATTAAGAGTCTTTCAATAGATGTTCCCTCCTTTCCATTGCTTTAATCTAGACCTCAGTGTACTACACACGTACTTCACTAAGATTATGTTGTGTGTTTCATCTTGAAAACAATTGTACTTTGACTTTTTCTGTGAATGCAGAAGAGCTACATTGTAACGCTTCTGTGCTAAGAGTAAGGCTGTGACAGTTAATGCACACAAGAAGAAACACTTCCTCCAACAAGGCTAATTTGAGTTATGCTCTAGAGACCGTGGGGGTATTTTTTTCCTTCAACTCCACTTTTCAGACAGATCTGATAGCCTGTGTTGACAATTTGCTGCAATGTCGGTTTGGAAAAAACAACAAGGTTTCTATTGTGGAAGAATGAGTGCGTCATTGTTTTAGGAGGAACTGTCTGCAGAACTTCTCCTGCGTCTTTGATCCTGGCTACACTAACATGTCTGGAGCTGCTGCTGTTCAGTTTGGGATGAACTAGTGTCACACCTGCCATGGTCAAAATGTCCTCCAGTGTAAGGTGTGCCCTCTTCCCCCTGTCATTGAAAACATGCGATTGGTTGCAGAGGATGTCGTACCCACAATCCTCATACAAATCTGTTTTGTCTGCAGGCTAATTCTCTAATAGCACTTCTCTGTGATCAGCCTCTTTTCATACTTACAGGATATTGGGTATTATTTGTTGTCAATAAGAAGAAAAAATAAATATTTCTGCCATCACAATTATTTCCTGTGCTACCAAAGCCTTGTGTATTTTATTTAATTCATTCTGCTGTGTCATGCAGCTTCCGTTATCGTCCTTCACACCGTTTTTACTGGTCAGCATGTTTCGTCATACGGATGAACATGTTTAAGCTCTGTAGTTTATTTTGACGTACTAAGGAAAGGGGATTGGTCAACGAAAATAGAAATATCACCAGCCTTATCCTTTAAATGGCCGTCTGACTGAGTGATTGCACTGTGCAGATTTAAAGCAATCAAGTTAAAGCTTGGGATTTAAATTCCTAAATAGCTCTTCTTCCCTCGGCTGATGACTGGTTGATGTTGTTCTTTGAAGAAGTGATGATAAATAGTAACCAACATGGTTCTCTGCTGTAAAATGTAAATGTATGTGTTTTGTGTAGAGCAGGTATGTTCGTCGTTGCACCCTGCTGATGCATGGGGCAGGTTGTGTGGTAGTTATTAGTGTCTCTGCGTCTGTCTTGTGATTAACAGACTGTGAGGTTTTCTGTACATTAGTGCAGCCCTTGGCATCATGGGTAATTAGACTAATGATGCCGTCAAAGTGGGAGTCTGGAATAGGGCCCGCGCACTTGGGAGGGCTCGGTGTGTGTGTGTGTGTGTGTGTGTGGGGTAGTCGCACACAGGCCATCTTTGCAATCAGACTAGTCTCTGTGGTGGGATGAATTTGAATACGACTTGAAAGAGGCTTTTATTTAAAAAGCAATCTCATGAGAATCCAAGAATAGCTTTTGAGAGTTTGCTCATTGAGTGATTATAAATATTATCAAGCCAACCTGGACAGTGGTGCTTCTTCTATTCTCTAATAGGTTAATCTGGTTTTCTATTGAATCTTTTGATTGTGGCTCTCGGTTAGTCGGGCTCTCTGCTCTCCTGCCTCTGACTCCTGCAGGAGTCTAGGGAGTCGCAGCCATGATTGATGAAGGCTTGAAAGGGTGTTTGATTCAAAGTTGTCTTGGGTTTTTATGTGTCCTGAGGTGCTTTGGAATCTGGCCTACTTATTGAACGGCCTCCCCAGGTCCTACCGCCTGCCTTTGACAGGCACATACATTGTCTTTCTTTAAAATGTTCTGGCTTCCGCGCTCTGTTAATTAATCGCTACCTCTTTTGTGCCTCTCAGCAGTCAATGCTTAATCCTGTTACTCTATTGTGTGTGTTGTGGATGCTTGTGTGCGCATGTGTTTGTTCATGGATGATTTCTTCTTCTTCAGATTGTGGTCAGTATTTTAGTTTTATTGACTGTTGGGAGCTCATTTCGAGACCATACCTCATTCTAGAGAATCCAATTACTGCAAGAAGCCAAAATCCTGGGGAATTTAATGTGAATTTCAGTATTCACTATTTGAATGCACTGCAAATTTCCATTAAAAACCAGCCCCCATCCCCAAACTTAAGTTTCTATTGTGTTACATTCCATGAAGTCCTGCAGGGATCACATCACTCTTCTTGGCAGATCTCGGTCCCTGAAGTCAGAGCTCTGCATATTGCATCTACTTGTTATGTTAAAGGACATCATGGACGTGTCGCTAGTATACGTCGTCACAATGTTTTACTCTTTGTTTGTATATTTAGTTTAAGTTTGTTGTTTGGCTCATGATTATAATCAGCGGGTGTTTTTCTGCACCAAGTTATTGTTGAAACTGGATTTCATGTATTTTTCTAAGTGAACCGATTCAGTGAAGGGTCTGTTAACAACAACAAAAAAGAGCATCCTGTGTCACACAAGAAGCGCATATTGACTACACAGTGCACTTAAGATGGGCCTCGGAGCCCGAGGGTGGGGAGGAACTGTGTGCTGAGGGGCACCTGCCATATGCTCTCTGAGTCAGGCCTCAAACAAAAGCTCGTCAATGCAAGCAGGACAGCCAGCCAGCCAGGCAGCCAGACCCTTTCCAGAGAGGGGGAGGGGAGCTGAGGCTGCTGGGTCCAGATTGGTGTGTGTGTGTGTGTGTGTGTGTGTGTGTGTGTGTGTGTGTGTGTGTGTGTGTGTGTGTGGTAGAGATTTGCTGTAAGCTAGCATTGCTAAATGAGGAAATAGTCGCTGTGGGAATCTATGATTCTTTTATTTTTTTTTGAGATCATCTAATTAAGATTCACATTAAATTTTAATCCATTAGAGCATTTCCCGTTGCAAAGGCCGTGCTTTACTGCCACATAACCATTTTAGCGACTGGGCTCCGGTGGTGTCCTTTTACCTTTGGCTGCTGGCTCCGTTTCCTCGTCGTTCGCTCACCTTGTCAGGGACGGGCAGAGCGAGCGAGGCCTGGGACGGGGCTGCCAGTAAAAGCAGCCCCACATCCCTGGGGGGGTTGGGAAACGAGTGGAGCGCTACTTCAAAGGCAGGTCGGCTGCTGATGTTAAACAGGGTGGAGAGGGAGGGAGAGGTGGTGGCCGGCAAAACAGGACATGTTAGAACTGAACCACCCAGCAGGGTGCCCTGAAATGTAGATGAATAGGGAACCCCACTTCCCTCTTTATCCCCTCTCACAGGTTTGACAATAATCCTGATTGAACTATTGTCATGCGAGGCTATCGTACTTAAAGAAATCATATATAATCCACATGTTATAATTAAGTCATATTCCATGTTTTGTTATGTTGGCTAATGCCTGAGGCTCTGTTTGCCCACACTCCCCCTGTGTCAGCCCTCATCACCCATACGGCATACCCCCCCCCCCCAAACACTCACACACATAAACACACGGGGCTGGGTTTTAAGATTCTCCTTGGTCACCCAGGCATTAGCATCAGGGGTCAGGGGTCGGCCCTGGTCTACATTGTGAGAGCTGCCGGGGGCCAGGGGTGGCAACATGGAGATCCTGTGATGGAGCTGTGACCAATTTCACACTCCCAATGAAAGATGAACCAGCAAATAAAAGGAGAACCAGCAAATAAAAGGAGTTTAAACGGCAGAGGAAATTCCTCCGTGGCTGTCGAGTCGAGCAGAAAAAGAAGTAGAGAATATGGAAGAAAATGAAGATTCCCGTGAGTGTTTTTTTTACCCCACTTTAAGGCCCATTGTGTAGCATTTAGGGGAATCTATTTTCATTAGTGTATAATCACCTTAAACTAAGAATTGTTGTTTTCGTCAGCTTGATGAACCCTTTTATATCTACATAGGAAGCGGGCTCTTTTCACTTAGTCCGCCATGTTGCACTGGCTCTTGAGAAGAGCTTTTGTGTTTTTATGTTACCTGAGGGCCACCGTAGTTCTCCAACACGCTTCATACGGGAGAGTGAGCAGTGTTCAGTTGGATGGAATCGGCAAACACACGGTTAGATGTCACTGAATCCTACAAGCTGCTCCTTTAACTCTTTATTGGCAAGATAGTATCAACATTAAAATGTTAACGGTAGGGAACTTACAAAAAAATACATCACATTGGATTCATTTGTATCCCGTTTATCAATTTTTCTATTCATTTTTCTTCCAGTTGTGCGTTTTGTAGTCTCAACATATGTCAGTTTTTCCATTAAGAACATTTCCCCAAGAATTGAGCCACTGGTCCTGTGTTTCGTGGTGCTAATCCAAACTGTGAAAGTATAAACTGTGCTTCTTTTAGCGTAACTTAACTATTTTGAGGTTAATGGACTAGAATGACATGATGTCTGCAAAAAGAACAGAAACGGAGGTCTTTGTCTCTGTGTGAGGATACAGCTCTCAGGTTTCTAACAGCCCCCATCACTCTAAACCCCCCCCCCCTCTCAACCTCTTACCCCAAACGGCACACCTGGGAGGAGGCCCTGCATCCTCACCTTTCCCTAACCCCCAACCTCTAACTTCACCCTGTTTACTTTGCCTTTTCTCATCATCACCTGCGGGTGCCCTGAAGGTGCAGTGTATGGAAGGGTAGTTTTCAGTGTCTCGCTGACTTGAGATAGGATCATTTAGTTGCCTGCATTCCAGGTAGGCTGAACTCAGAGGAGAGGAATGCACCGCCCACATTCACATCAGTAAAACGGGACAAGGGGCTGCATTGGTGGTGTCCAGTTCATCGAACACTGATGCACTGAATGTGTTTTGAGGTGGGATTGTACAACCTGTGAGGCAAATAAAATAACACATTACGATGGATGTAGAACACGTCTGTCTCTTAAAGGCAGCAGCTTTTTTAATAATTGATTTACTACTTTATATAACCGTTAGTTGCAGCCCTGTTTGGCATGTTTATCTAGCGTTGGGTTGTGCTGCAGATAAAGTGGAACCAGTCAACTTGTTTTTCTGCTGGCGTGCTCGGTTGCTGCACCCCCGCTGTGCCAACTCATTGACATGAATGAGAACACTGTTTTGTCATACAGGCTATGATACACACGGGAGTCAAACCGGTCTGTGGCTCTAGTCATACTGTGCTTCTGTAGCTCCCTCTGAATTTTCTACTTGTTACTAAAGCTTTTGGGCATCCCATGTCTCTCATGTGCCGGTTCACCCACAGCAGTAAACCAAAGAGGAGTAATCAAAGAGCACAATGAGGAGGTTGACTTGCGCTGTGACGCTCTTTAAGATCAAAGAGGCTGGGGTTGTGTGGAGATTGGGGGCATTGATGGCTTTTTATGGCAGCGTCTGTGTGGACATAGCAGTCTAGCAGCAGACAGGGCCCCGATCCAGAGGATATGAGGGTAAGAGAACGGGGCAAGTGTGGACGGGGCTGTTTAATCAGCCCTGTTTCACAGTGCTTCCTGTTCTGGTGGAGAGATCCCGTTATTGCCTCTCTGCTTATTACCCCTCTGGCTTTGTTGGGCTGCAGATTCCCCACACCCCTCCCCTAATACTCTCTCACCCGTTCCCTCTCTCCTGCCTTGCTTAATGGTGGGTCACTACATCGCCCCACCTACTGAGGCGTGGGCACAGAGAGGTAAATGTCTTCATGAAAGGCACGACGGACAATTGTTGCTTGGAGTATCCAATGTAGTCGCTTTTAACTACAGCTAGGAAAAAAGTCAAAGCCCCTATTTTCAATGTTTAGTTGCCATGATTTCAGCTTAGAGGCCAAGATTTACCCCCAACAGAAGGGTTGTTGTAGTTCCCAACTGGATGCATATTTTCACAAAGCAAATACATCATTTTATAATCCGTGGATATAATGCCAACTAATTCTGCAACAGCAACTAAGTGGCACTTACTCAGCAGGCAGTAGTGTGTGTTTGGTTGTGTGTTTATATGAATTGTGATGGCCCTACTGCTGTGTTTTTGTAATCAGATTTATATTCCATGAGTATAATTTTTTGCTTCTTGGGGCACTTTGACTCATGCATCCAACCTTTCCACAAATGACTCCGGGTAGAAACTGGACAAATCATTGAGTTGAATCAGTCGGGCCAATAATATTGATCGATACCAGCTTATTGCAGATGAATCGGTATCGGCATATGAATTGTCTGATTATATAACTAGAAGTAGCCACACAGAAATAACAAAGATATGTTTCAGGTCATTTACTTTTGTCAAATCAGGGTTTGTCCAAAAACAAAAGTACCACTCAACATGCATATCAGTAAAAGAATGGAGCTTCATCAAAGGTAACACTTTACCTTACGTCCCCCTAATTAACATTTATAAACAGTTAATATACATTAAAGAAATGGTTTATAAAGCAGATATGAGAACATTGTTCATGATGTACAGTATTTGACAGCAACTATAGCTTATCCTAGACTATCTTATATAAACTGTACGATATTAATTCATCATCTGGTTATATACTGGCCTCCATTTATGTGCCTAGAGCAGTTATAGTTAAATAAACACGTATGTGTTATTATCGGCTTACTACTATGTTATGTTTTGATAAACCATTTATTAAATGTTTATGTACTGATGCTAAATGGGGGTACTTAAAGTGATGCCTGGTCAAAAATGATTCTCAAGTGTTTTATCCAAAAACAAAACACACATCTGCCTGAATATCATTATTGTCATCTCAAATATTGATATCAGCCTAAAAAATCCAGTAAGGTCCGAGCTATGATTCTCAGTTTCACTATAAATCAACGAGGAGTCCCCACGTCGTCCTTCTCAAAGCTGTGTGTCGCTACGCCACAGGTTTTAGAGGAAGGCCTGTATCAGAGTAACCTGACACCTCCTCGCCCTCATTCCTTAAATTTGAGCAGAGGAGGCCTGTTGGATCCTCTGATTAAAGGCAGAGTCACCCCTCTCCATTGGTCACACAGACCCCCGAGGCCTCGGTGCTGTTGCCATGGAAAGGAGGATGTCTTGGGATGGGGAGGGGGCTCGCTGCAGTGCCGCTGTAATGTCTGAGAGAGGCAGCGAGCGAGAGGCACAGAAATATCAGGGATCGAGCCGACGCTGTTGTTTCATAGAAAGTATTTGTATAATCCACAGTCTCTGCCAGCCTATAGTGATGTTTCCCTGTGAGTGTGATAGCTTAGCTTTATAGCCAGATGTTCAGTAATAGTCAGCTTAATTGCTAATTCTTTGCAGGCACTTGTTAGGTTTTGTGGAAGCTGGAGTATAAGGCTCTTTATGGCTGACCATAAACATGCTCCATGTAGCTACAGAGGATCATTGTAATACTGAAAGGAAGCAAAGATCTCATCTTCACCCCACTAGATCAATGGTTCTGACTTTGGCTCTGAATAAGACACCATTTTCTGTTGAAAGGTTCTTTGGTCTTTGAAAAAAAATTTCAAGCTAGTTCAAGTATTTAACACATAATGACACATGAAAGAGACAATCAACAATCTAAAATCCCAGATTTTTCACTTTTTAAAGACTTAAAACATAATGTTTTCACATTTAATGAGCTGGAATGTCTGCTAATGTTTCCTGATAACGAACCTATTTGATTATCTAACTTGCAGACTGATTTCCTTTTGAATTGTTGGATTGTTTTTATTTTTGCAAAAAATACATTTTCATGAGTACGTGTAGTCTGTTTCAGAGGTGACATATTTAGTCAAACTGTGTTTATTGCACAACACACTGTTGTTAGGTGACCTCACTGCATCTCCGCCTTTGTTTCCAGGTAAATTTGAGGAAAAGGAGGACCGGGTCCCCAAACTGGAGCAGCTGAACTCTCTGGGCTTTATGTGCAGCCTGAACCTGGTTCTCAACAAGAAGGATCTGATCAAAATGGAGCTCCTGCTGCTCGAGACATTTGGCTGGAATCTGTGCATGCCCACACCAGCCCACTTTATTGACTACTACCTCCATGCGTCGGTGCAGGAGGGCGACCTATACAACGGCTGGCCCCTCTCGTCCCTCTCAAAGACCAAGGCTTTCATGGACAAATACACTCACTACTTTCTGGAAGTCTCACTCCAAGGTAGGTTATGAGGAAGAAAGTGAACTGGAATTTGCTTTGTTCCAGAGGTGTTGATCATGAATTTATCAGTTTGTTTAAATATTTAATGAAATCCTTGTTGTTGGGTTCTTCTAGACCACGCCTTCCTGAGTTTCAGACCGTCCCAGGTTGCTGCTGCGTGTGTGGCAGCATCTCGTATTTGCCTTCAGATTTCTCCTAGCTGGACGACCGCTCTGCATCTGCTTACGGGCTACACCTGGGACCACCTCACCCAGTGCATTGAGCTCATGCTGCTGTAAGGGACATACACACATGTACACACACGCGTGTACACATACGCACGTAGAGAAAAAAAGGTCTTAACAGAAACACGAGCCTCCCAAAGTGTGGTGGGCTGCTCAAGGTAGATGCCATTGAGGCCCTTTTCGCTCTATTTTTTGTTGCCATCGTTTTGGATTATAGGACGCCTGTTGCTTCAACCAGAAGAAGCTTTTACTGTTGTGTGCATCATCTGACAAAGCCCGTCTATCTCATAATCCGAGCTGATGCTGTGTAATTTAACCTCTGTAATTCAGTTTTACGTTTCTTGGTCGGCGGCTGTGTGTTTATTTTAGTGCACCTGTGTAAATGTAATTGAACTAATTCAATTGTCTTCATAACTGTTGATTCATTTCCCATCTTTTTTACCTTTCCTCTCCGCAGTGCTCATGACAATGACGTTAAGGAGGCCAACAAGACCAAATCCACTCCTCCTCACCGGCCCTCCTCTCTGCAGTCCCAGCCCCAGACCTCTCACCTCTCTCCAATGTCCGTCATCCAGAGACCCTCCTCCTCCTCCTCCTCCTCCACCTCCTCCACACCACAGCTGCTCTTTCAGCCAGACGGCTTCCCGCACCTTTCCCAGCATTCCCCGTCCCTGTCCCATCTGCAGGCGCTAGCGGACTCCCAGGCTTTGGGGCCTGTGGTGAACATGTCTCAGGACTTCCTTCAGAGCCACAGGATGGGTCTCCTAGCTGGGGCTGCATCCATGACTCCTGTGGGTGGGTTCCCCTCCTACCCAAGCTTGACCTCCGGTCTCCAGCCGGGGGCTCGCGCGCTGCCGCTCCAGGGCCCCATTTCCGTGCAGATGGCGCTCGCCGGAGAGCCGCGCCACTGTCTGAGCATGGCCTACAGCGGGGGGTACCTGGGGGCTCATCACACGTTCACAGCGGGCTGCTTCGACAGGTGACGCCAGGAGACGGAGAGGGAACACAAACCCCTGCGGGAGTGCACTGCTATGCTTCCGACTCAATTCCCTACCCCGAACTATCCTTTTACGGACCTCCTCTCTCTCTCCGTCAGCTCCGCAACACCTTCGGCTTGTCCCGCTCCCTCGTCCCTCACACAGAGACGCCTCAAACGCAAGCAGAGGTCCAAAGGCAAGTCGGACCCGGTGGAAGTGATCACACTGACGTGACAAGCGTTCCACCACCTTGAAACACTGCGGCGTTGCAAAAAAATGCTATTGCCATGATCTGAACTGGTTTTATAGATCTGTGTTGTTATGAGACTGTCATCACTGTGAATGAGATGAAAGCAGCAGTGTGAGCTAACACCCACCTCATTCAGTGCCTGTTCTCAGTCATGTGATAACTGAGCCAATTTTAGAAGTGCACAGAACGCAAAGTATCTGTGATAAAGATATCTTGCTGCTCGACATGATTTTTTTTTTTTTTAACTGTCTAATCCCAAAAATGTAACGCATATTCGAGAGAAAAGAATTGGCTTGTGGTTTTTTTTTGTTTGTTTTTTTTGTTTTTTTTGTTTTTTTTTTCCTTTCCTTGAGCCACCATTTGAGAGAAAGAAGAAGAAATAACGGCTTGTGAACATTGATCTAACTCGTGTCTCGGTTGGAGCTGAAGGGCCGCTCTGGGAATTGCTCACCACATAAGCCCTCAGAAGGGACGAAGAATTCATTACTTTGAGCACAGCAGGTAAAGTCCACTGCTGTTTCTTTTTTTTTTTTTTTTTGTCCTCGTCATCTCTTCTCTTCCATCTCCAAAGTCGAGCCTTGTAGCGGAGCCGTCTCACACTCGGGTGAAAATGTGTCTCTCTGGCAGCTGCAGGCTTTGTCCTCCTGAAGTTTTAATTTCAGTGTCTCCAGCACCACTCAAAGAATTTACCACAAACTGGACCAGCATGGTGAAGGAGACGTGGATGTCGTTCGTGTATTGTACATATAAATTGCTGCTGCCTTCTTATAAACTGTTGGTTCTGTGTCTGTTAATGACTACGATGTTTACATGAACCACTAAGTATCAGGGACTTGAACAAGATTACTTGAATATGATGCCATTGAAACATGCCATAGCTTTTATTTATGACTCATTTATTCTTTTCCATTTGACTTTTGTTTGATATAGTGTAGCTTTTTATACCAACTTAGAAACCCACCATTGATTAATTATAGTTTTCTTTGTACCCGTCTATAGAAAGTGTTTATTCAGGCTCAGGTTTCTAGGCTGTAAACCAGCAGCCTTCCCATTATTCTGTGCTATTATGCTTTAAAGTGGATGCTATTGCAGCATCTGTGGGGGCTGGAATATTCCCCTTCTTCACCACTGGACTATACTCTACTGACGAGTCAGTAACTGAATGCGTGAAACCGTCTGTTTGCATCGTAGTGGAACAGCCTCGTCATCGCTGGTTTCACACATCTGTGGGCAGTCGACGGTAATTGCTTCCCAGATTTCTAAAGCTGCAATCCCCAATCTTCCACTTCCTGTCAACGTATAAACACATCCAGATTCCCAGCGTCGGTCACAAGGGTTGCTCACTGGTTACCATGGTGGTACCTTGAATAACCGTGGATCACAAGTTCTGGGCTTTTGTTGACTGAATTAAGGAGGAAACTAATTATTTTCAGTACTGATTAATCTGTCCAGTACTTTCCCGGATTAATCTTTTTGTCTCAAAAAGAGGAAATAGTCTAACGTTCTAGTTCCCAGAGCTCAATGTGATGCATTCAAAACAATTGTTTTATTTGACCATCGCTCCAAAAATAGTTGGTTCACATTGAAAAAAAGCCTCACATTCTCATATTTGAGAATATTTGGAACCACATAATTCGTGGCATTTTTCAACCAAATTGATCGCTTTTCTGTCGATCGTCTAATCTAATGGTCTACAAGTCCTTGCAGCTCTATGGTGGACCCCAAATTCTGGACAGAGTTCTAACTTTTTTTTCCTCTGGACATCGTACCATGTCATGCCTTGTCCTGAACGGTTATGAACATTAAATTCATAGTAGGATGTGCTTTTCTCAGATGACACTACATGAAGAAGCCTTCTGAAACTGCAACACTATTATAATCACGACCCATCAACCCTTCTATAGCTGAACATCTGTCTGTTTGCCCACCACTGAAGAGGACATGATTAGCTTTCCTTCCAGTGATCAGGACTAAGATGCTATGCCTCTGTTTTAACCTTTTGTGTACAGTTTTGTTCTATTTTTTACATTCCTTTTCAGTGTATTTTAGTTAACAGCTTTTTGTGATGCTCCTGATGAATGCCGTTGGTGTGAACTAGATTTTTGTTTATAGAGTTCAAACTTGCTCTTTTCATAATTCATGATCAACTTCTCACTGAGGTGTCAACAGTGCAATACGTTTGTTTAAAATGACCACAGCCATCACTGTCTCGTGTACACCACTGGTTCATCTTTTGTAACTTATTTTTTGATGATTGTGTGATTTGACTTGCTGTAGCTTGATCTCTAGAGGGCAGTGGGCTCTGAACACAATGAATATGTTGCATATTGCAGCCACCTCCTTTGAGTGATAGATATTACTGAATGCTTCCGTCTTTTAGCTCGAAGATGCATTTTTCCCTCCAGTGAAAGGTGCTGATGTTCACGTGCACCAAACACTTGTCTGATGTGATGGTAAAGAAACCACAAACTTCCAATTTATATTTTTGTATTATTTTGTACCAATTTGTAGTCTTGGTTTATGTGACACCGAATGATGGAAGGAATTCGTTAATCATAATGTGCCACGGATAAATAAACACAAGTGAACTGAGTCTGTGAGGCGTGTGTTTCTTCTGAGGAAGCGTTTCCACAGTGCCTGCAGCTTTTAGGGAAATGACGGTTTCCGCTGCGTTGCTCCAATTGGTTGAAAGGGAAGACAATGCAGCAGCTCCAGTGATAAGCCCTGCAGGCTTTACACACAATCCTCCAGCTGTGACCGCATGCTGTCAATGCAACACATTATTCGTTTAAATAATGTCTCAATAAACTACACTAAAGCGGTGTTGAACTGTAACCGAGTACATTTACTCAAGCTCGGTTAAAAAAAGCCTTAAATGTTGCCGTTTTCTTCTTGTTACATGTTCCCCGCAACAAAAATACAATGAACAAATGAATGCATAAATATATAACAATGGGAGTACTTAAAATGTGTGTACTCTTTAAGTATATTTTCTTATAACTGAATGCAGGACATTTACTTGTACTCGTGTTATCGTGTGGAATTGCAACTTTTGCTGAACTCAAAGATGTTCCTACTTCATCCACCACTGACTGAAGCACACTTTGTATTTGAGATCAAATCAAAAACAAATAATGTAATCCCTCATTCCCTCACTCGTGGGAACCATGGGTGGAATAGTATATCCATGGGCAGCACTACTTTTACAACTGCAGACAAAGTTATTATTCAGTATTTGAGAAACGAGTTCAGTGTCTCTTCTGCCTCTTAACTCCGCCTCCACAGCTCTGTCAGAGCTTTCTATGTTTTGTGGCATTTTGATATATAGAAATCCATTCAGTGCTGGGGCCCTGTCTCACACACCAGACATTATGCTCCAATATAATGCTTGCAAGTTGACCGTGTCCCTTGTGTTGGACACAGCACAGTGGGCTGGGGACATGTCTGAGCCTCGGCTCTGTTCTCTTAGCATACTATAGTTTTCCTATATGTTTTTTTTCCCTGAGTCACAAATCTGGAATGTAACAATGTCCAAATGCTTAATCACATCAGCTCACAGATCTTTAATTAGCATTAAGTTGAATAACAAAAGATTTTTATAAAAGTACAATGTTCCTCCACATACGCCTGATCAAAACATAATTAACTTGGCATACAGATTAAAGAGTAATCAGTATTAGATACACTATCTCCATAATTTGTGTATTTTTAACAACGTCTGGTAAAAAGTGTGCTGCTGTTGAGATCTCTTGTGTTAAGTGGCCCATCTGTAAGGAGAGGTGGAGGGGCGGAGACAAGGGGGCTGTCAGTTTGATAATGGGGCATTCTCACAGTCTGCTGTAAGCTTTCGGGGGGGCTGAAGAAGCTGCTGGCTCCCTGTTATGTGTCCTCCAGGAAGAATTTGTAAATGGGGTCGGTTGGGGGTGCAGCGAGGGCTGCCCACCTTTTGTATGTGCTTGGGGGTCTCAGTAGGCCTACATTTGCTTTAAACTTATAATTTAACATTTAATCAGCAGGGGTGCTTATATGGTGCAAATTCCTAAATTCATCTGTGTTTAATCAAATGACCACACTGGCTGGTCTATCCGACCTCGCTTTAAGATATTTTCTTACATCTGCTTAATGAAATGTTTCTGTGACGCTTCATTGAACTGTAAACTTTACATGCTAAAGTAAATCTCAGTAGAAACCCACCTTGTACTCACCAGGTAAACCTCTGTGAGGGCAAAGGATGCAATACTCCCTGTGCACTGAAATCATTATTATCAAAATTAATGTCTATTTTGTGTTGCTATAAAGAGAGCATTATTAAGCAAAGATATACTTCAAGTATCAGTAATAAAAACTACATTTACTCTGTTTAATTTGGAGTCCACGATGAAAAAGGCCATCATCATATATTTAAGGGATAATTTGTTTTAAGTGGTTTTAAAATTCTTGCTATTGTTTAGGTGATGTTTCTTTTAGTGCCCACTCTCCGATTCAGTGATTCAAAAATAAAAAAAGAGTAAAAACAGGCCACTGAATTTCAGTAGAGAAAATGTCCAGTCTGTATAAATAAAATTCAGTTTTATTCCTCAAAAGAACTTGTGAGAAAAATGCTCCTTCCATTCAATGTGTGATGTCACACTCGGCTCAGTAACAGGATCCTTGTGATATGATACAATAAGAAGGTTTGTTGCCATACAAAAGCTGTAAAGCCACAGATTCTTTGATGAGCAAGTTCTCCATTTTCACTTTTTCATGGTGATATGCAGCATGTCAAATGTCCAAGACAAGTGGGTGAATGTCAACAAGATTGTCTGTTACTGAGGGAGCAAGTATTACTGTTTTCACACAACATACGTTGATGAAGAGAGACTTGTTGTCCTTTATTTGGCCACCGTGCAACAGCATTTCTTCACTAAATGAAGCAAACTGTTCACTACTAAACAAACAGATTTGTATCCCAAAATTCTGTTAGAACAGAGGAATAAGTGATTACTATTAGCAAAAGTCAAAATTAATGACAGCTTTCTAAATGTGAATGTACTCCAGCTATTTATTTCATAACATTTCATAATCCCTTTTACTACAAAGTAGAAACCCATTCTCTCTTAATGCATTGAAATACTTCGAAGGAGCAAACTGCCTCTCCTGTTTTATTGAGGAATGAGGGCACCGCTTAGTGGAGACAATGGAAAAGTGCAACGCCTCACCAGGAACAGTGTCAATGTCAAAAATGCTCAACCGCAGTAATATGTGGACAAAGCTGATTGGAACACTTCTCATTCATTTCAGCAGCTGTATAGTCAAGGCAACAGATGGTCTCGTTGAGGAAACAGGCGTTGTCCAGGTGAAGTGTACTGCAGCTCAGATGACAAGAGTGTTCATTTATACCAATTTATTTCCAACTATCAATATTTTAGGAATGGAAGTTTTCTGAACTGGCATCAAGTCCGTGAAACCAAGGTGTCCTCTGCATTTCGGCTATTTGGGGGAAACCTGATGTAGACATATGCATAATTTTGCATCTCCGATTTTAAATAATAGAAAAAGAAAATGAGGCTATTATTAAAGCTTGAATCATGTGTACATGATTGTGGTCTCTCAGATGATAATGCACATGTTAGCTTGATCATCAGACTGATGTTCCATTTCAGTTTACTTTAAAATTGTTCCAAAGTTTGTTCGGTAACCTTGAATGGATGTGTAAAACATTAGTCAATTTGCATATTAAGCTGCATGTTAGGAAAGAAACTGACCATTTCTTTAAATATTTCAATTGATTTGGCGTAACTGGTGAAATAAAAGAAAGAAAAGCAACATATAAAGAGGTCCAAGTTCAACTGTCAGCAGTAGGCAGCAGCTTTATTGTGGCTTTTACAGGGAAATATATTCTGGAAAACTGCAATAAATTCATGGAGGCTCTTGGTAAGAGACATGTGTTTACTTACATATATAGTTACGTCAGTATTGGATTGAAATGTGTTGATTAGTGCTGATAACTGTGTGTTGTTTTCTCTGACCCCCCACGACCCCAAGAGTGACATCATGACAGATTTCTATCAGAATGATGAATTCAGATTCACTAAAGGTATGATAGACTAGACCTGGAGCAACACCTCCCTCAGTGGGAAGGAGAGCGAACTGCACACTCTGGATGGCGAGACATTCAAGGTAATTTCATATTCTTGTTTCATAGTAAATGTTTTATTACACATGAATTCAAACTTTAACCGTTAAATTAATCTAACGGCCAGGATAATACACATATAAACATAACTCGTTGTCTTTGCGGTGGACGTGTGTACAAGTTACACAGAAAGAAATGTTTTTGGACCCAGAATGTCAGAGAGCATTAACACAACATCAATGGTGTGATACAAATGAGAGAAAACCCCAGGGTTGGTTGGCGAAACAATATTTAGTGGTACAGGTACATTATTTTATTACTGTACATAGTTTTAACAAATCGATTAGGTCAGATCTGAAGGTAAAACAACAGAATACAGCGCTGTGAAGCCAAGACATCCGTTTGCTCTTCACTACAGATGGTTACTTTATTCCTCTTGCCTCAGTAATTGTTGGGAGCACTTTCATGACTTGTTTTTCCTCCAGCGTGCAGCCTCTTCTCCAATAAAGCATGTTGAGTCTGGCAGCATTAGATCCTTTTGTTAATTCTTTTGAAAGTCACACCCTTCTCTCCTGGAGTTATGCAATTCTAGAGGACACATAAAAAAAAGATAAAGATGAAAATATAACTAACTAACTCAGGTTGTTTGAAAATATTTTGAGAGAATTTGTCTCAGTGAGTAGTGGTTTTCATTGCTTTAGTGGTTACTTCTCTTACCATTATTAGCTTATCCTCAATGATCTCTGCTGTGAAGTGGTACTGAGGAAACGGAATTGAAATCTTGCCTCCTTCCATAGTGACAACAGCCTACAGGTCACACAGGTGAATGTTTAATGACTCTGATTACATGACAGCATTATGACTAGTTGTGAAGAAGATTTGCAGTTAAATGATAACTTCCTCCAGTGCCTGTTATTAACTCACTGTGAATGTGGGGCCCTTCATTGTTGCCAGCTCACACTGCTGACCAGCGGTGAACTTATTGGACCAGCTCCAGTTGGGAATGGTTTGTGTCCAGGTGAAGTCGTTCCCATCCTGAACCACCTCCGTGACCACTTTGTGGTCTGTCTTGGCATGGAGAAGCCCTGTGACAGAGCAGGTGAAATTCCAAATACAGAACTTAAAATTAATGACGACTCACATTTATCCATTCATGACTTATGTATCAATAAAAAAAAATACCAATAGTTTCCAGGAACTCCTCGTAGTTGTCTTGACTCTCCAGCTCATATTTTCCAGCGAAAGCCATGGTGGTGAAAGAGAGGAGATGAATGAAGGAGTGAAAAAGGAGTGGCCCTATAAACAGACTCTGTTCCTCTTGAACCACTGCTTTAACTCCCTCTTCCTCTCCTGTCATTCCTCACCATGTGTCAATATGTCCCTGCTCCCGGCTTTTCCTGCACGTTGCAAGTTTAAACATGTAAGGTGGAGTAAAAAGCTCAGAACAAAAAAATACACTGTCTTTGTACAGGTTGCCAAGAGGTCATGTGCGTTCAGCTAGATGTATCTTTCTTTCTTTCTTTACTTGAATTTCCAACTTCTGTTCTAGAATTGAAGTTGGCACTTGTAGTCGAGGTATTTAAGTTGAAGAATTGCTTGGAAAAAGATCAAAACAACTCATGTAACAAGAATCCTTCACCAGCAGAACCCTGCTGACAATGAACATGAGTGGTATGTTGTTAATCAGTTAGCATTTGAGCCATGTGTCAGAGTTCTCCTATCTGTCAGTCTTGCACAGGGTTGCAACTAATGATTATGGTAATTATTGGCATTTCTGCTGATTATTTTATTGATTGATTGTTTGGTCTATAAAATGTCAGATAAACCACCATTTCCTGCTGAATTCCCAACAGTCTGACCTTACAGTACGCCGGAAATGTGCAAGTGGAAGGGACACATAGGAAGACCATGTGTCTGAAAGGTGTAAGATGAAAGATAAAGTGATCCCAGCTGGATCAGGATTTGGACTTTTTTTCAGGAGAGCCGCCTCTCTTTCAGCTGGAAGAGTTTGAGGTGAAAAAATGTCTTCAGGACTGAGGTTAGTGGAGAAACAGACACAGAGAGAAATGCACACAGAGACAGATCTCAACATAAGAGGAACAGTTCCACATTGTGAGAATAGATAGCTGTTTCCAGTCTTCATGCTAAGCTATAAATGCCCCAGCTGCTGGCGGTAGCTTCATAGGTTGGTGACAGACCTGTCAGTTGTCAATACATTGTTATTATAGAGTTGCCGGTAGCTTACTTTGTTTTTCTTTTGAAAAGTATGTGGTTATAAATCACTCTTAGTAGGCTGATGGCACATTTATTCATGCAGCAACAAAATAAATCTCCACAAATGAAACTGAATACCTAAACATTTAATATAACCTTAGATCTGTGCATAGACAGACATTAAAAGTAGTCTCAGACAGTGTGTACCAATCTGCTGGATTGATGAGGCTAGAACAGTGATTGTATTTCCAACAGCAATGGAAGGCACCATACGTGTCTTCCTGCGTGTACTTCAGCCCTCACAGCTGTGTGAGTTTCCCGGTTGGGCAATTGACTGTCGACAAACACGACTCTAGTCTGGGACGTTTAAATAAGTAACAAATGGCCTCCAAAACCTTAAGAAATGCTTTAATAGACACGCTGAAGCGCCTGAGCAAGAGCGACTTAAGGGTCTTTTGCATCCAGATGGTGGACTACGGACCACAGCCGTGGACTGATGTCCGTGCTTTGAGGAGTCGCGACCCAACAGAGATCGCAAACCTCATGGTGTCAAACTTCACCGAGCTCGGTGCTCTGTCAGTTGCTGTAGATAGGTTGACTCGGGTGGGCTTCAAGGACGAGGCAGACAGACTAAAGTCAGGTAAAGTTTTTATTTTTATTTTAATACTTCGATGCAGAATGAGAACTGTGTTACGTAGAGCCAGGCTGCGTGCAAATAATCAGCAATAATGTTAATTTATAAACTCAAACGTTGCTAACATATGGGTTAAATATAACACATATTTAAAGGAAGGTTAATCTTCTTCAAAACCGTTTTGTTGACTTTAGATATAGCGAGGTTTGGAGCTTGTGCTGCTCGCTTCTTTCATCGGAAAAGAGTTGGCAGCTATGCTGGGTTTTTCAGTTGGATACTTTTTTTTTTAAATTTAGCGTACTCTTGATAGTTTCTCAAGATTACCATCCCTAGCTTTAAAAGAAACACTGAATAAAACCACTTCTTACTTCAGCCAATGTGGAAGCGGTTCAACTTTAATTTGTATGTTGTACCTTCAAAATGTATTAGCATTAGTATCAGCAGCGTGACATAATTGGGATTGTGTGGCGAAAATACGTTTTGCTGCTGCCCGTCATCTACTGTCTGTAATACACTGACAATGGATAAGTAGCTCATGCACTCCCACCTATCCCTTTAACATTCTGCACAGGACAGCCAAAGTTTATCACAGACAGGTTACGCTAGGTGTGCATTTTCCAATATAAAGAAAGTTAACGTTTGACCTTTCGCTAAGCCCCGCCCCCTACTACTACGACTGTCTAACTGCACTCCCTGAATGAATATCATCTAATTTTCTACAATATTAGTTTGAGGATATATCCAGGATGTCGAACTGATTCAGCAGTGAAAACAGGTTATAAAGATAGAGATAGAGACTAAAGCTACAGATCACAGTGTAAAAATAAGATTGAGACACAAAACTATGACATTAAGGAACAACACTGTTCCTGTAAAGCTGGTAAGGTCCTTATTCACAGTTAGTCATTAAAAAGCAAAAGCAGCATGTGTAGATATTCAGTGTTTTTAGGAACATATATCTCCTTCCAACCTCTCCATGTAACGAGCATCACTATTACACAATGTTTAACCATAACTAGCTCCAAATCCACACAACCAGCCGGAAAATAAACATCTGAAACAATTGCATGAGAGTTTATGGAGCAGAGACGGACAGTTGTTGGATCCCTGGTTGGAGCTGGTTGATGCTGCGCTATGATTGTCCAGTCTGCGTTGTGACATTGCAGAGGGACGATTTCATATAGATTTAAATCCCCGATCCCACTCCATAATAACAAAGAGAAACCTGTATTCACCCGTTAGTTCATAAGTTCTTCCGACAGGCCTTGTGCTCAGCAAAGTCATTAACAACACTGCTCAAGAATGTTTTCTATTTATTCCCTTCGCTTGCTTTGAAATTTGCCACAATGGACGAGTAACGACTGATTCATGACGTTGAAATGAGACTTATCTCTACGATGCCTCCTCATTTCACCACTAAAACCTACATAAGGAGGCAGCTGGCGGGAGGAAGAGCCCTAGGGAACTAGTTTCCTGCTGCCAAAAAAATTGTTTTGGAAATAAATATCTTTACACTGTTTTTTTTGATGCTCCTTAATGGCTTAGAGGTTAAGGTGACGACTTTAATTCGCACATTTTCTAATTTCAGTCCGACTGGGGACCTTTTTGTTTAGACAAAGACAATTAGAAACCTTTGACACTTTAAAAAAATGCTCTACCAAATTTACTGCGTCCATCAAAACTAACTGTCTCAAATTAAAGTACAAAGGGATTTTAGTAATTGTAATTTAATGCTGTGTCTTCTTATTTTGACAGTCATGGAAGCAGGCGTACAGTCCTTCATGTCTGATCTTATGGCTAGGGAGTCACTTCCGTATTTTTACTATTGTATTGATGAACTTTTGTAGAAAATTACTTGCATTGTATTTGAACTTATACATACCACATTTAACAACCAAAATGACAATCTTAATATAATTAACAAATGTCCATCAGATACACTTTGAATACAGAAACAAATATGTTAAGTTCTAATGAATTCAATAAATCACTAATGAGTATTTTTTCTTTAGGTCCTACCTCAGAGGAGCACTTCGTGGATAAAAATAAAGATTATCTGATCCACGACCTGAGAAACGTTGAACACATTTTGGATGAGCTCCTTAACAAGGGAGTTATTCAACAGGAAAGTTATGATAAAATCAGCGCTCTATCGACCTCGGAGGAGAAGATAAAGGAGCTCATTGATGGTCATCTGAAAACTGTTGGGAGCAAAGACATCTTCCACGACATCGCCATGGAGAATCGGACAATACGTCATCAAGGTTCATATTCAAGGTTCAGCTGTTATTGTCATTATAAAATACAGGATTGCACAATGAAATGTAGCTGTAGCCCTCCCCATGACACACATAAAATATATACTTTTTTTTCAAATATTCTTATTAGAATAGCATAATAGAAAATAGGCAATAAAATAGAACAACAACATTAACTGAGTAAGATTATACAGATCAAAGCATTGACTTAAAAAAAGAGAAAAATAATTAGACTATTCATTTTGTTTCCTTACGCCAACTGGAGAATCAGACCGCAAGAATCAATATCTGTGCTGTTGGGAAGTGATGACGACCGATACATCAAGACAGTTCAGATGTTTGGGAAAGTGAGTAGATCCTGAGCCGTCTAAAGGACCCTTATTGACTTCTAGTTTGGGTGGTCTCTGCCTATCATCTCATCAAATTTTAATTTTGAGACTTTTGGATTGATTATTACATTCAAGAGTGAATATTTAAAATATAAATATTATAATATGATTCCAAGTTTTAAAATCAAGACTCTTAATCGCACTACTTCGAAAATACTAACTGTACTACTGTCAAAGATATACAATAAATCTGTTGTTTCTCGGTTCCAAGATGCATGTATTTACAGCAGGAGTCTGGATTCAACTTGAGCCTGAAGTGAACTGCGTGGATTCAGAGGATGCTCCAATTTACAGGTCTTATAAAAAAAACGATGATCTTTTTTGGTATTGCTACCATTAATACCAATTATCATTGTAATAATTTCACAGCAAATAAAAACGAGGTTGATTTTGTTTTGTTTATATTAATGATATTTCTGTTGGTTTTACAATATTTCAGTGTAAAGTAGACCCGAACTTACAATACTTGTTTTTCTTTTCGTAAACTAGCCTACAGTCTGAAGCAGGTCACTTTGAATGCAGTGTCTCTGGCTTGCGCTGGGTCTGTAAGGAAAAGGTCAGCTTCAAGTACCAGTTTGGCTCCTGGGAGGAGCACATGGAGAGAATGGAAACCATGCATTACATCCCTGGAGGTCCCTTACTGGACATTACAGTCGTTGCTGGAAAATGAGATGAAGCGCATCTGCCACACTGGATTTGCACAAGTAAGCCAACATCCTATTGAAAATCCAAATGTAACAATTTGGTTTGATAGTATGTCTATAAATACCTTGACGCACTTGTCTTTTTTGCAGAAGACAACCCTACTATTTTGATAAAGTTTACAGTTCTCCACATAGATAGCTGTGGAGACGTTGTGGAACCAGTGTCTGAAGTCACCCCATCACATGTCAAGCTGTCCCAGCCAGTTTTTTCCCCATGAGGAGTCCTGATGAGAGCCGGCTTCCCCGTGAAAATGAACTGTAAAGTGTTAATATACAAGACCAACAAAGCATTCCTCACACTGCATGTTTATCTGATCCCTCGGGATCCTGCTCTACAACAGGTTATTGCTGTCATCATGTTGATTCAAATTCAATGTTCCTGACTGCAACCTTGAATTCTTTGTCCAGAGGACTTCTTTTTTCCCCCCACAGACAATAAAAAACAAGGAATTATCCAGTGGATACAAAATGATAGAAAAGCCATACCCAGTGAATTCCCTGAAAATGCGCGATCGTTTCATCCTCACAGCCGATATGGACACTGCAGAAATTTACCCTGAGGTTTGGTTTAAACTGTCTTTCAGCTATTGAGGGAACTGTGTTCCAGAAATAAATAAGATGAAATAATACAACACTGCAGCCAAGAGATGGTTAGCTTAGCCTAGCTTAGCATAAAGACTGGACACAAACTCTGACCACCACCTCTTAAGATCACCAATAGTCTGCCATACAACAAAAACACAACTTGTTTTCACACAGTTTTTCGTTAGGATTAAACATATGAAGAAACATAAAGGTAAACGGAGCCAGCTAGCTGTTTCCCCCTGCTTCTACTCTTTGTGCTAAGCTAAGCCACCTGTCTTCTGATTTACAGAACAGACATGAGAGTGGTATCGATCTTCTCACCTAACTCTTGGGAAGAAAGCAAATGAGCATGTTTTCCAAAATGTCAGACTATTCCTTTAACATAGCATGTCCAGTAATTGATTTTTAAAAATGAATATACAGTCCCTATATTTCTATATAACTAATCCATTTTAAATATTGAGCCTGACACAAGCTCTAATTCTGCTCCTTTTCCATTTTTATATTTTGTTCACAGAAGTTGAAGCTCGTATATGAAGGCAGTGACCCAAACTTCTTCGAAGTTTTCAGAAAGTCCAGACAGTCAAATCCAGCTCACACTGACACATGAGTCTGGACCAGTGTGGACCTGTGCCATTCGAAAAGGTCAGTGGTTGTAGAATAATATTCTGATATTGTGTATTTAAGGCACCAATGTGCCACTCTTATTTAGCTCGAAATGCTTGTTGGTGTCTTTTTTGTTTTGAATGCAATACATAAAGCCACTAAATCAACCAAATATATTTATTTTTTCTGCATCATATTTCAGATGACTATCAAAACACTGCTGGTGATATTTAGGTGATGTATGGTAAGACACTGAAGATGAGTTATTAGAAGAACGACACTTTTTTAAAGTGTGATAAGATCTGCCGTAGATCTTTCACATGCCCATTGAACATCTCGGTAGTCTGGTGTGGTTGTTATGACTGATATGTTTTAAAATGCAGTTAAATGGTTTAAAACCAATAACATTAATACAGTAATAGCTTATGGTGTGCTTCACTGAATCTTGAGATTGTAAATAAATGGTAAGATTAAGGATTCATTTCCACACGGGCAACACTAGTATCACAGTGTAACTAAACTTTTTAGTGTCTGCATCATGAACCACCTTAAAAGTCCAAAATCTGAGTTGTTTCATTCTTTCCCACGTTACTCTTTTAGAGGAGGAGCTTGCCAAAGTGAGGTGTAAACTTGTGGAGACAGTGTCCAGAGAACTGATCAATCAGCTGCTGGATGACCTTTTAGAGGATCGTGTCTTGAATGAGGGGGAGAAAAACTGGATACTTCAGGAGAACAACACCAGTGCAGACAGGGCACGCTGCCTCATTGACACGGTGTGGAGGAAAGGACACGAAGCCAGCAGGAAGATATTCACTCACCTTCGAAGCAGAGACCCTACACTGTCCGCTCAGCTGGGGCTGCCCTCTGGCCGACCTGTGTAGCCAGGTGAGGCCCGTCTCAGCAGAGCTGGTCACCGTTAATGAACTAGGTTGTGATCTTTTATATTTCAGTGCCTGAGCTAGAGGGACCTTTATTGTGTCATGGTTTGACATCAACTGTTTAAAGTGTATATACAGTAATTATTTAACAGCAGTGATATTGTACACTGGTGTTCCTGAGTGTAAACTACAACAAGTTCTATTGTTGACTATAAGCACTTGATCAAAGCTGCACTAAGCAACATGTTTTATTAACAATGGATAAAATAATGAGAAAGGGGTCAACATACTCCACATACAGTTTCCAGCTGCTCCTGTTTCCAAAACGCAGCAGTTTTTATTGAAATTGCTCTAATAAACCCAACAGTTAGACACGGTTAGCAACTAACTGGTGAACACGCTGGAGCGTTTAGCAGCAAGAGCTAGGTATTAGGTGAAGGTAAAGAAAGAAAACCCTGTCTGCTTTGAGTGTAAATATAGACAAACCACGACGTACATTCCAATGTGAATCTAATGAATGTACGAATGTTTTCTTCGATTGACCAATGTTTACTTCTATGTAAATGAAGCACAGATTTGTTTTTGTTGTTGAAGGTGATCAATATGCAAGGTGACTTAAAGTCTAATTACATCCTCTGCTTACATTTACTAGAATTACATTTTGTTTGCAGTAACATAATTTTGCGACCCGATTTCAATAAATATTTTTTATAACACTTGTAGTTCTGGATAGTATTTTTTAAAATCTATCTATGATCACATTTAAAGGTGCAAGTTACAGAGTTTGCCTCCAAGCGACGTTTGATCAACGTTCTATGTTTATTCATGTATCACTCACATTTCTCAAATCGATATTCAGAACTTTTTGAACATCAAACGTACAAACAATTATATCTCATGATTGTGCGCACAGCAGATAAACCAGGTTATACTTTATTTCCACAACATACCATGAAGATATCAAGTGACTGCAACAGGAAAGACATTTGTCTTATCACACATTGTACATGAGTCAGGCTCTTTGTCAGTCTTTTTACAGGGCAGACATGGGGCTTTAACCCAGAGGAAGACCGTATTGGGTTCCTAAAAATGTGTCCTTTTTACTTCAAATTTATTCTGTTTAATCAAAATGCACCCACGGGTGTCTTTCCGTCCCAAAGAGGGCGATAAACAGTGGTTTTCATACACCTTCTTCAACCCGTTACTGTTCACTGAAAGAAACTCTCCTGTCTATGTCAACCACATATACAGTTACATAGGACAAAATACCTCTGATACAGCAGCATAGACAATACTCAGTTACCATCACCTTACATTGAGCACTAATGACAGCGACAATCCACCGATGAATGAACATGTACAGTGAATGCAGTTAACCTGTCGAATCAGACATCCACGCTCTGTGACTTAGTACTCTCAGTGACACTCAGCAGTCACACCATGTCATCAGGCACCCTGCTGTTTTTGTCGGTCCCTCTCCTGTCTCTATTCTTCCGAAAGGAGAAAGAGAAAATACCACCAGTGGTCTCCTCAGCTGGGTTTCCCCCTCTTACCGCCCCTCTCAGAGCTCCTTGCTGGCAGTCTGCGGGGCTGCCAGGCAGCAGGTTTGGTGTGGAGGGAGTTGGGGTGGTGCCCCCCCAGATGTATAACGTTTCCCCTTCAGGGCAAGGTGGGAGACCCTTGCTCAGGTAGCTGGGGCTCGGGCTGGCTGAGGAGGGCAGAGTACGCTGGCTGCCGTTCAAGCAGCTGGAGTTGTGATCCGCTGAGCCTTTGCGCGAGTGTCCGGAGGAGCTGAAGTTGGAGGAGCGGTAGTTGCAGGCTCTCCAGCCGGGATTCTTACGCTGGTGACACTGGCATCGCAGGATGCGGATGAAGGCCAGCTTGAACTCTCGGTTGTAGCAGGGGTAGATGATGGGGTTCAGGCAGCTGTTGAAGTAGCCCAGCCAGAAGATCACTTTGAAGACGAGATCAGATGGGCGCAAGTTCACATTAAAAGACCCTGAAAACAATAGAAACAGGGAGAAAATGGAAAAAAAACACTTTTATTAGAGGCCATGGCTTAGTACAGAAACCTCAAATTAACCCCTTAAAGGTTCCGGCTATTTTCACTGATTTGAAGGCAGGACTCAGTTGGAAACAGGTTAAGTCACCTGCTTCTGTGTACTATTCACAATTTAGAAACATTTAGATCAAAATGGGGTGACAGTTGTGGTTTTGTTGCTTATGTTGCCAGAACTGTTAATCAGATCTTATAAAAACCACACCCTCACAGCGAGATGCACCAGATCAGCTGAGTTTTAAAGCTCTGTATCAAAGATGACTCATAACAAGCTTCACCAATGGTTTGAGATGGTACGCTTCCTGTCTCCTAAGTGGGCATGATCATGGTGTACATCACCCCACATCCTTAGGAAGCTTTGTGAACGTTGTGTGGATGGATGAAAGCAGACATTCAGTTATATTTGCAATATGTATTTATATTTTCTTTGACTAACATTATATATTTACACAGCTAACAGCCATGTTTAGCATCACTATGGTGTTTGCAAACTGTTGAAAGAGTACTATCCATCCAGCTGAATTATTATTACTGTCTGTTCAATAAATATGTTTTTTTTTATATTTAAGGGTTTTCTCATCTCGGTTTATTTCTCACAGGGAGGTTAAACTGATTTTTTTCCACCACACTAAGCTAGGCTATTCACCTCCATCTCCATACTACCGCCATGTTTCTACAGTAGCCCAGAACGGACAAACCAAACACTGGCTCGAGATAGTCATTCACGTTTTCGCGTCAGCCCCCATAGTTCTCCTACTACACGCTTGGCACACGGGAAAAGTTTCAGTTGGTTGCAATCTGCAACCTCACTGCCTTCAAATCCAACAGACTGCACCTTTAATGCACAGACACAAGAGCTTAAATAAAATGACACACAAAACTTGTTTTCATCTGATGGAATGAAGCAGCCATAAAAACATGACTAGAACAGGTTTTTTGCTAACCTTAAAGCTACCAAAAAGGGGAAAATAATAAGGAATGCACTGATCCAACTTTGTGTCTCCAAATACTGATCTATCTGATCTGTTTAATCAGGGCCGTATCAGCTCAGTGCATCCCAGCTCATGATAAATTGTGAGTCTTGCAGTTCGTATTTTACCCAGTAGGTGGCAGCAGTGATTAAGAATAACATCGGGCTTTAGGTCGGCTGTACAGGTGCACCTATGAGCATAGTCAACTCCACATGTTATTTATCAGTAAAGAAAGACCTTGTATATATGAAAGCTTTCACAGGCAGATAAAGTGCTCACTTTTCAAAAATCAATGCTGCCGCTCTGTTACAGTTCAGAGAACCTTTATAAGAATACAGAAAGAGTGAGATGACCCTGAATCCCGTTTTAGATAAATACACTGTGTGAGACATGCTTCGGTTTCAGAAAAGGGCAGACAGTTGAAATAAAACGGCACCTTTTCTCCGAGAGTTTATGGAGGTCTCACGACCACAACAGCACACAGCTGAATGCAGATGTGGGCATGATGGGAAGCGATGTGTAACCGGAGTCAAATTCCATGTATGCGCACGCATACACATGGCCAATAAAGCTGATTCTGATTCTGATTTGGGGAGGTGTGTCTTCGGTAAGACTCATCAAGACATCTTCTGCAGGGAGAGGCAATCCTAATGATGGTCAACATTACAAAAGATTCTGAAGCAGGCTTATCATGTTTGCTAATGCAATTTGGCCTGTGTTACACTGCAGTGATTTACCTGTGTGTCCAAGCTTATTAAACAGAGGAAGCATATCTTACAAGCTAATGAGGTGAGAGGGGAAAGCCTGAAGATAAAAAAAACACAGCAAGTGTGAGGTTAGTGTGAAAGAAACAAAGACATTGTGTGTTTGCGTGTGGGCAGATTTGTGTAAAACTGTTTCTCTACACCAACCCACATTCTTAAATTAATATCACATTCCTGGAGAGACTGAACATATCATCACTATACTGATGCACCAGAATATCAGGCTTTCAAGTGAGAAATTAGCTGTAAGATATTTTAGGCAGACAGATACTTCAGCTTGCTTCGTCACGAATACCACATCAGCAGCTTTAACAATTATTTCAAGCGGTTAAATGTACATTGTACAATACATAGTCAACAGGTCAAATATATTACTGGATGCGAAAAATGAAAACCTAAATGGAGTTTTATAGTTGTGTCCACTTTATGAGTTGAAAACAATTTTTAAAAATCCACCATTGTTTTGGTTTGATGCCACAAATTCCTGTGCACAAACCTGAAACTATGCAAAGTTGATATCACAGATGTTTTTCATTCAAGATCTAGAAAAAAACACCTGTGTGTGCACACACACACACACACACACACACACACACGCACACGCACACGCACACACACACACACACACAGTGCTCCAGTCAATTTGTTAACCTGAGGAAAGCGATGAGTGTAACAACAGGAGGAAATGTCACTTCCAACTTTCATTAGCGCTCCTAAATGGCAGCACTAGAGTATGTAGACGGCTGTCTGAATGTGTCTTGGCCTCCTGTTCTTTAGATGAATGGGTCTCTTCTCAGTAGCTGGTATTTTCACATGCTATTTTCGTTTCTGGACAGGCACTTAATAAATGTGGTTACATAACCGTGTGAGTTATGCTTGTGATTGGGATACAGAGGTTTGGAGGAGAATTAAAACTTGGTCTTTCTGTTATTTCTCTCCCCGTCTCTCTCCTCTCCTCTCCCTTTCTTTGTCTCTCTCTCTCTCTGAAAGTAGCTTTTTGTAAATATTTTTTCTTTTTATGGTCTGGCGGATCACAAATATGAAAAAAACAAGCTGAGCATTTGCATTTGAAAGGCAATAATCATCAAATTGTTTTCATTTTACATGATAAATGACTAAAACGATGTTAAACTCATCAGTCAATTAAGCTTATTGTATAGCATGTTGAATCAACTATTTATTTTCTAACAAGATAATTGTATTATATAGTGAATAGTAATTGTAATGGTAATGCTGTGGAGTAGAAGGCTGTGTGACGCTAGCTTAAGATCCCAAATGTCCCAACATATCTTTTTGATCAGTTTATTAAATCATGAATAAATGGGCTCTGTTCTAGGACCGCAGCTACTTATTTTCTTTCATTATATATTTATCTGACAAATATTTTCTCAATGAATTTTTTAAAAATATTGAAGATTTGGTCCACCCCAAGGTGACACTTT